ATAAATGATACTATTTCAATAGTAATATAAAAATAATATAAATATGTTGAATTAATAAACATTAATATTTTCTAATTTGTATTAAGTGGTTTTAGTTTTTCCATATAATGTTAATTTTATTAAAGTAAATAATTTTTTGCTTTCACATGAATCAATATTGTCTTAAATCTTTTTTCAAAATCTTATATTTAAATGAGCCATACAAGATATTTTACAGCGAATTAATATTATTTCTTAAAAATTAATATCATAGATTTTATATTTGTAAAATTATTAAAATTTAATAAAATCAAAATTTATTATGTTTCATTTTTTTAATCAATAATTCTGACACTAACCAGGCTTACGAAAAAATACTTAATAAACTTTCAAAGTAATTAAATTGATATTAATAAATTTCTTAATATGTAAAGCCATGTTTGTATGGTTGAATTGTTATCCCCCTAATACATATTACTCGAAAGTAGTGGTCTTTTTATTAATTATTTGTCCTCCACTGTCCTTTATTCAAAATTTTCCCTTCTTTTATGCCTTGACCATCATCTTCGTCTGCAGATCTGCATTTTTATTGGCCTTCCGTCCTTTAAATAGACTTACAATTTCGAGATGACTTGAGTTATTCAATTTTATGTCCTTTTTCCGGTTCATCTATCACTCAAGAATCAGATTCATCCTTTTTCAATTTGTATCCCGGCGTCGTTGATAGGAGCAGTGGCGGTGTGAATCATCGGAGATGTAGTAGTAGCAGCGGTTTGAATTCTCTGATATTTATTGATTGGGATTTTATCGCAACAGTTACTAATTTAGAGCAAAAAATCAGAAATAAAAAATTTGTTAATTTCAGGTTAAAAACTACACGTGTCATTTGGAGATTGGGTTGTTGCACCACATCATCATTGCTGATGTGGTACACCCGGTGCATGCAATATTTTCTTTGGGTTGATTATCATACCATTTGCTAAGCCCATACCTTTAACCCAATCAACAGCATCCTGCCTTTGTGCAAATTCCCCATCTGTAGCAAACAGTGCACTGTAATCCTCACCATCGCCACCAAAGTCTTCGAACGAATCCTGCAAATTAAACATAAAATTACAAAAAAAAATATTGCACTATAATAAACTAAATTAAACATAAATTACAATTATTTAAAAAAATAAAAAATATATACAATTATAATAAATAATAAAAAAACATACAATTACATTAAACAAAATTATTATAAAAAAATAAATATTCAACTAATCAAAAAAAATTATTAATTAAATTTCCACATAACTAAACTTAAATTACTAAATTAATTAAATTAGCAAATAAATAATATAATTTCTAATTAATTATACCAAACTAAATAAAATTCAACTAATTAAATTAATTAACATAACTAATTAAATCGTAAAACTAATCTAATTAAAAACTAAACTAAATAATTTTCAACCACTTTTACTAAATAAATAATCAACTAAGAATTCAAATAAAAACAAATAAAAAAATTAATAAAAAATAGTTCATAATAAAAAAAAATAAAAAATAATTAAAAAAAAAACAGAACGGGCAAGAAACATGCCCCGGCTTCGGTCGAACCGGATAATATACCCGTTCAGCTTTACAACAAAATGGACAGCTTGCTCATTCAACCCATTGGGTCGGACGGCCGGCTTGCTTGTTTCACCGAAAAGACGGACGAGTTTTTTACCCGTCCTTGGTTCGACCGGGGATGAGTATATTACTTGTCCAAACTGATTTCACCCAGTTCGGACGGGCAATATACTCGTTTCTCTCTACTGCTGACCAGGTTTCTCGCTCGTCTCGGTTTCATTGTCAGGTTCGGTCTATTTTTTTAGTTTTTTTTAATTTACCTCTGAGTCACTCATTCTCTTTCTCTCTCTACTGCAATTGGGTTTGGACAAAATGATAGGGGCAAAATGAGAATATCTAAAAAATTGTGGCTGAAAGTACTAAAACTTGTGGCTGCGAAATTCCTCTCTCTTTCATGTGCTTGGACGATAGGAACTGCCTAAACCGTGAAAACCGTACAATGTTTTTGTTCTCATTTTTATTTAAATTTGAGATGTAATTAAATAAATATTTTAAATGAGAATTATTTATTGTCGCTGCTGAACCATACGTCACTAGCCACCGGACCATCTCTGGTGACTATTGGTGGTGGTTTGACCGAATAATAGATAGTCCGGAGATGTTGGATAAAAAAATATTTAGAAATAATATTAAAAATAATTTTACAATAAAAATGAAATTTAAATATACATTTTTAATTTATGTCTTGAGATTTGAGTTTAAAGGCGATTTAAAATTTTTTTGGTTTAAATGGTTGTCCATGGTCCATACACCCCTAGTTTTCATTTACATCTACATATGTTTTGTCAAAAAAATTAGCGCAATATAAAACTATACTGTACTATAAGTTTTTCCATTAAAGGGGCAAATATAGTTCGGAGGACAGGCAAAACGCAAAATTGTTGTTTGGGGGCATATCTTAGGAATCAAACTAATACTTTCTTTTCCTCACACAAATAATTCATATTATAAATTTTATTAAAAAGATTACTTATTACGTCTTAAAATAATTGTCTACTTAAATATTTATTTTTAGTAATTAAATTTTAAGAATATAATTTATAGTTTATAGTTTGAGATATTTTTATAGGACCAAACAAATATATTTTATGGGTACTAGATACCTATAATATTGTACTCCAACAGCGGACGTAATCCCTTTTACCCTATTAAAGTAGAAGACATGAAACTTATGTGGCAACTACGTATGCATCTGTTTTGGCTCCAATGCACCATATTTCAGATTTCAGGAGTCTTTTTTGCCACGTGTAAGTCTCTTTTAATTAGAAACTATATAATTCTTTTTTTAAAAAAAACACATGTTTTAGATGTGACACTTATCCAATGAAAAAATCTACAAATAAGAATCAGTTACATTTCAAACGAATGGATATATTAATTCAAATTCAAATGTCCAATCATACAGTTTTGCAGGCTTAATATAAACAAAAAATAAAAAAACTTAAATCCAGTAATTAAGAATAATGCCTTATAAACTAATTATTTATTATTCTCTTATAACCTCAGATTTATAGGTATATTTTTTTGAGCTCCAAACCATAGCATAAATGATATATACGCCAAATTAATTCCTCAAAAAATAGTAATTCAATTAGATTTTAATAAAATAGTAATTTAGAAGGGGCGCCGGGCCATCTGCCTGGACCAAACATCTAGTTCAGATGTTACAACAAAACTTTTGTTTCCGGAGCTTCAGTATTTTCTACGCCTTTTAATTTGCTAATAAATCCCGCTAATTATATATGTTCATTTTAAATGAGATTTTCTTCATGCATTGTGCGTTCCTATCAATATTTGTTGAGTGTGGGAATCCTTTGCTGAACCCAGCTTCTTCCTAAATACACCAAATTAATGTGATGTGGGAAATAGGCATGATTTGAAATGCTAACAAGATTCTTATACTGCGAATTCTTCTCGTCCGATCTCCAAACGAGCCACCAAGAATTATGATTCCCTCTATTTGTGTTTAGCTACATAAACTGACATCGAGCAAGCGCTCCACTAAATACATGAATTGTTGTTAGTTTGACTATGTTGTTTGACAATAAAATGTTACTTACTAGACCAGCACACACACACGTATATAGCACATTCAAGGACACATGTATTTCTTTTCTATTTTTCCCTTTTTTGGGCATACTAGTATCGATTCAGTGTCCAAAATTATTGTTCTCACTAATCTGGAATCGAACCGCATAGATCTCTTTTGGGAGGCAAAAATCTCCCAACAAATATTTTAATTGTTGCTGCATACTCAAGCCCGTGGTTGATCTTGGGTCATGCCTAATACCTTTACGGCTTGAACTTAGTGTTTGTTGGGTTTTTTTTTTTTAATTTTTTTTTTATAACGGAGAGAGGGAATCTAATTTAATTTCTTTATAACTATACACACAAATACTGTAAGAAATTAACTAATGAATGAATATTACGGCATTTTTTTTGGGGGGGTTGATAACATGACAATTATTGTATGGATTTAGGGTGATTTTCTCAATTGAGCTGTTATTGCATGCCTTCACATTTTGGGTAAGCTAAATTAAGTTATCTAACAACACAATTAAAAGTGTGTTATTGTACGTATCTATTTCAGATATAATAAAAATACTACTACTTATGAGAAAACAAGTGATGACTAAATATTGAAGCATTAGAAAAGAAATACTCCCAGAAAACAAATAATATAGGAAAAAATATATACTCTTGAAATGGTAAGAATCTCTTAAAAATCAGAATATTCTCATGGATGAGGTTTACCAAGGATACACCTATCTATTATTTTTTTGGGTAACATCAGGAATTCATTAGAGATGGCCCACTGGAAATTACAGTGGGAGGTAAATCACTTCAAGCGAACCCGTAATGATAAATTCAAATACGAAATCGGAAATTCATGCATGAATATGCCATTTCAAAATATGAGTCATTTTAGAATTTGTACGTAAACTAAGAAGAAAATCATTCAATAATTAATTTGTATGTTAAATATATGTTTTACCCTTCATTAATTATATTATAAAAATATAAACAAGACTAAATGAAAAAGGGTTGGCATCATATATTGAGGGTTAAGTTAGAAAATTAGTTATTAATTTGCCTTGAAATTTTAAAACCACTTATATTTTGAAAAATTTCTCTAATTCTAAAATGATTTGTATTTTGAAATGAAAGGAGTATTCTAGATGTGTCAAAGTGCAATGATAGATCCATCCTAACTCTTGTTAAAGCAGGGAATTAAACTCTAATCTCCTCGCAAGAGTAAGTGATTTGCAGATATGAATAATTACCTTTTTCTCTACAATGGTGATTTACTGACATGGATAATTACCATTTTCCCTACAAAGAGCATTGCTTTATCATAGTATCACGCGCATCGTATTGTCTTCAAGAGATATACATTAAGTCAACCATGAAGTCTCCAGTCAACCGTTGTCACTTTATTGTATTGTGTCTTTACTCAGTTATTACTTATTAGTAGAGAGAGCTACACTATTTATAAATAGCATGTACTTCCTGGCAGAAAACTCTGCAGCATGTCATAACCTTCTTCCTTGCCCACAAAAAATACACACACACTCACACACTGCAAAAGACCATTTCTTCAACAATGGTTGTTGCCGGCAATTACGGTGGAGGCCCAAACATGGGTAGCTTTTCGCTACAGGTGATTAGAAGCCGGTGGTTCATGATCTTCGGCACCATTCTAATTATGGCTGCCGCCGGCGCAACCTATATGTTCGCCCTCTACTCCGGCGACATAAAAGAGTCCCTCGGATACGATCAAACGACCCTCAATCTGCTCAGTTTTTTCAAAGATTTAGGGGCCAATGTCGGTGTCCTTTCCGGCCTAATCAATGAAGTCACACCTCCTTGGGTTGTGCTTTCATTGGGTGCTGTTCTTAACTTCTTTGGCTACTTCATGATTTGGTTAGCCGTGGAAAAGAAGATCTCAAAACCACAAGTATGGCATATGTGTTTATACATTTGCATCGGTGCAAATTCTCAGTCGTTTGCCAATACCGGAGCCCTTGTCACCGCCGTGAAGAACTTCCCGGAAAGCAGGGGAGTTGTGCTTGGCCTTTTAAAAGGCTTTGTTGGCCTCAGTGGTGCCATCATCACTCAGCTTTACCACGCTGTTTACAATAATGATTCCAAATCTCTGATTCTTATGATTGGTTGGCTTCCGGCTGCGATTTCTTTCGCTTTTCTCCGAACCATTCGTATTATGAAAGTTGTTCGGATTGAACATGAGCTCAAAGTGTTCTTCAGGCTTCTTTACATCTCACTTGGGCTGGCTGGTTTTCTTATGATCATGATCATATTCCAAAAACAGTTTAATTTTTCTCGAGGCGAATATGGTGCTAGCGCTGCTGCTGTTGTTGCTTTGCTCTTTTTACCAGTTGCAGTTGTGATTCAAGAGGAGTTAAGAAGTTGGAGGAGCAAAAGAGAAGCTCTGGAAAATCTTCCCAAATTGGAAGTGGTAACTGAAAATGAGGCCAATCCAGCAAAAACAGAGTACCCTGTTTCAACCTCAGAAGCCATTCCAAAATCCATTGAATCATCCACCAAGGAAACCGAAGTAGAAGCTTCTTGCTGGACAACATGTTTCCGGCCACCCAACAGGGGAGAAGATTTCACAATACTCCAGGCATTATTCAGCGTGGACATGTTAATCCTGTTCTTGGCTACCATTTGTGGGGTTGGTGGTACTTTAACAGCAATTGACAATCTGGCTCAGATTGGCAAGTCATTAGGCTACCCCAAAAAAACCACCAGCACATTTGTTTCCCTTGTCAGCATCTGGAATTACCTGGGAAGAGTTGTTGCCGGTTTCGTTTCAGAGCATCTTCTGAAAAAGTACAAATTTCCTCGTACCCTCATGCTCACATTAATCCTAACCTTGTCCTGTGTCGGCCATCTCCTCATTGCTTTTGGTGTACCCAATGGCCTGTATTTCGCATCGGTGATCATTGGATTTTGTTTTGGTGCCCAATGGCCATTACTTTTTGCCATAATTTCTGAGCTCTTTGGCCTCAAATACTACTCCACACTGTATAATTTTGGGTCTGTAGCTAGCCCAATTGGCTCCTACCTCTTGAATGTGAGAGTTGCAGGGCATTTGTACGATAAGGAAGCAATGAAGCAACTCCAGGCTTTGGGGCTGAAGAGGCAGGAAGGCCAGGATTTGAATTGTCATGGAGTGGTATGCTTCAGGTTGGCATTCATCATAATTACCGCCGTCACGATTTTCGGAGCTCTTGTTTCGGCGGTTTTGGTGATGAGGACCCGGAAGTTTTACAAGAGTGATATATACAAGAAATTCAGGGAAGAGGCTATGGCCGCAGAGCACGAAATGGCGGTGGCATCCGCCGGAAACAGCGCTATAGTTGTCCCAAGAAGCAGTAACAATATGATTAAGGAATAGGAGGTGTTGAATGAATGTAGAATCATCAAAAGATAGAATTTGTGTAGATAGTACAGGATGATGAAAGCAGAGAGGTTAATCCAGTGGTAGAAGCTATTACTTGGTTTTTCAGTTTAAAGCAAAACCACCTGGAGAAGTTCTGTTCTTAGTTTAGTACTAGTATTTTAAACTTTTACTCTTTCTTTTTTCTTCTTTGATGAATAGATTTTACAGGAATGCAATTTTAATTCTACTATACAACTCCGTTGAAAACGCAATATTTTGTCCTTGATGCATCACACAGTTGTTTCCATACTCCTTTTGCAAAATAGAGAATTTGCAAAATATCAACCTTGTGAGGCCATTAACAAAACCAGATGGAAGAATGTCTTTGATTGGGGCCATTCATTTCTTTTTCAACCTTATTAACTCACTTTAATTTGCAGTCACTTTCTTGGGCTGCAACAACATTTAGACATCAAACAACATAATCGCGTGTTAAAAACCGCAATGAACAACGAATCTGGATTGAACCTTTCAGATCTGTGCTTCAAAAAGCAAATTGATCTTAGTGGTTCAAACTAAATCGAACAAAGAAAAGGACGGAGAAAAGATGATGTAATACAAATCAATTGTATACAAGACAATTAACCCTGTTCTGGAAATTGGCTTGTCTAAAATGAGCTTTTATTAAACCTTTTCCAGAACATCCACGTGATTGCACAGCAAACGAATTCGTCAAAAGCTCATATTGGGCTCCTATCTCAAAATCAATTAGTATTGAGTAGGGTGGATCAAAAAATTTATAAACATGTGACAGATCTTTCACCGGAATGTGAGATTCTTTGACCCAACAATATTTATAGGCCAGAGACTAGATAGGGCCATTGAAGGCCGCCTTCCTAAAATGATCGTTCTGTTTGCTGTGGGTATTAATACAAGCAAATTCCAAATTTCAAATCGAATAGTTTATTCAATTCCTCAACAACTAGATTACTATGAAACATAAAGTTCCAAATAATCCTACAACGTACAGCATGGTTGAGAGGCAACAGGATCAAGCTTAACCACGCTACCCATGAAAAGTGCTGCCCCGCTCTTATCTTCTGTTATGAGAAAAAAGAATGGATGATCAGCAACAAAGTTTATTCTCTTCTTCGTCTTACGATTTTTTGACCAAGTAACCGATGAATCAAGAGTTCCCGCAACAGCTTCTTTTCCGTCTTTGTTAACATCAATGAAGGATTCAGCTTCTGATCCTTGTTCACAAATAGCAATGTAAGATTTCTGAAAAATATTGACACCTCCAGTCGAAGGGAAAACCGTGCCTGAATCACGTTGAATCTTTGAAGTTTCAAACCCGTATGAAATATTGAACTTTGGAATCAGGAACTGATCAACTTCAACTTCTTCAACGGGTAAAAAACTCTTTGCAAATCCGGGTTCCGAACATAACTTTTTCACGAAATCTGGAAGTCCGTTCTTGGCATTTGGGAGATATAAGGACATGAAAAAACGCCGGTTCATGTCGTCGCCGTGTTTGTAAGGAAGGCGTAACACTTTGAAATCACTACTAAAGGCACTTATATGTTGGTCTTTATTGCTGGAAATGAATGCAGCTTTTTATTGTGTTACCATTTAGAAGGTGGAATTTATGCTCTTTGGTCCACCTCAATGCATCAAACTTCTCTTCCCAAACTCCTTTGAAATATAGAGCGTTTGCAAGCAACATTGTGAGCCTGTCTACAGCACCAGGCAGTAGAATAGCTTTGATGAGGCCATTTGTTTCTTTTTCAGCCCTTCACTTCATTATTACCTCGTCCGGCTGCCCATGTAAAATCCATCAGCTGTACTATAACTAAATGTAACTCAAGATTTAGATTATTACTTCTTACAAACACAGACCTTTGCTCGCTATTAAAAATACTCCCCCATTCGTAGCAGAAAAATAGTTTAATTTGTTATACTATTTTTTTTTTTTAACAATAGCACAAGTGATAAATCTGGTGGGTTTAATATTGAAAAGGTCACAAGTGGCAACATTAACACCCAAGCCATACAGAAACAAAAAACCATGTTATAGAAATTAAATAAAACACCTTTGAGAATGAAAATAAGCAATCAGGCTATACCCTATAGAACCAGTGTTTCCAATTAGAAAACAATGAAAACAAAAAGAACCCGATGATTTACTCCATATGGTCCTGACTCCTAATTATTAGACACAAATTAGAACTAAGTTTACTGTTAGTTTGTGATTTATAATTAGGACAAGAGGGAGTACCATATACGAACAACTAACCTTGTTACGGAAATCAACTTCATTGGAGTGAGCTTTATAAAAAAGGGCAAGGACATTCTTGTAACCAAGATCAAACTTTGTAGAACCATCAATCCAAACTCCATTAGCCGATGATACCATCGGGCCGCCGGAAAGACTGCCGTCGGCAAGTATAGAGAAGTGACAAACATAGAACATCGAGAATGCAACTCATCCATGGACTTGAGCTTGAGGAAAGAGAGAAGCCGATCTTGAGTTGAGCCTTCGGAACCAGCTGCAATCATCCCCAATGCAATATGGAGGGACAACGGCGAGAATACAGAATTCCCATTGTTTTTAGCCCTAGCTATTATTATCGGCTTTGCCATCAGATGAGTATAACATCTAGTTGGGTATAACATCTAGTTAAGTAGTAATACGTTAATTTCATTTGGATGTTTATTTTATATTTTTTAAAGCTAGTATAAATGTTATATTTCGAAAATAATATTATATATACTCATAACCATGTGTTTGTTTGCATTCAAAAGATAACAAGAATGTTGACGTTTTAATATATTTCAATATTGCATGATGGGTGTTATTGTCGTTGCTTTGAGAATTTAATATAATGCACTCAATTTTCTATCTGCACAATAATTCTCATAATTGGAGTCGACTGTGGATTTCTCTAAAATTGACAAAAACCTAAACGAAATCTCAAAATTCGTTCAAATAAAATCTAAATATTTAGATTTATTTTGTAAAAATTGTTGATGCCAAATTGTCCGTCTAATTTTAAAATACGGCAAACAAATCAATGAAAGAAAACACCAATGATTTTACTCATATTTACAAATAAAATTGATGAATAAACTAAAACACAATAGTTTAGAATGTAAGATATGTAAATTGGAAAATTGGTTAAGAAGAAAACAAACAAAAATATAAAAATCCTGGCGTCGACATGATAGTCCAGTCCATACAACCGACGAGGTGGACAGGTGGTCGACTAAAGAAGACTTTTGACACTTCAATTCTCAAGTCGTGATTTGAAGGCGTTACCTCAACAACAAAAAGAAGATATTTACTTCTCGTCCTCGCGATGTTGAAACCGACGAAACAGTCGACGGCTTCAATTATTCTTTTTGTTTTTCTTGAATTAACAAAGTTGGTATTTATGATTTTTGTACCGTTTCACAATTACTATTTGATAGTACTACTATTAATTAATAAATTAATTTTATATGAATTTATATTTTCATATATTATTTTACACTAGATGGATTAAACGCGCTTCGCGCGTTCACTATGTATAATGACTTAGTGTAAATTATATTAAAAAAATTATTTTAATAATTAAAATGGTAAATTACATTACGTCTCATATATTATCTACAAAATATGTTAACAAATTTATTAGTAGTAAAAATTTTATAGTTGTACATTGTGAGAACAAAATGATATCACTAAAACGTGTCACTTCTTATTTCAACAAAAATGATATATAGTATTCTGATTGTGAAAAAAGGGGCAAGACCAGTGAGAAATAAAATAAAATTAAGTTTCTGTATCACCAAAAAAAAAAAGAGAGAGAGAACAACTTTAAAAAAGAAGAAAAAAATTTCAAAAAAAAAACCTAAATTTGCAAAGAAAAAGAGGGAGATGAGTAACGAAAGATGATAACCTCTTATAAACTCGAGATTGAGAGGTAAACATAAACATTTCAAAGAAAAAAAAGAAGAAGATAGAAGTGATTAAATCTTACACTCTTTTAAATTATATAAATTTATGTTACGTGACTTTTAATATTCTTTTAAGTTACAGAAAAATCTAAACTACCATTGAGAAACCTATTATATTAAAAGAGAGAGAGAGAGAGAGAGAAGAGAAGAAGAAAATGCATTAGGAATTTAGAGGGGTTAGATTCACCGAAATCGTTTAAAGGCCAATCAAATTTACCTAATAATAGGAAATTATTTTTGCATTGTTAAAAATAAAAAATAATGGTTAGAATCATCAAAATCATTTTTAGATCGATCAAATTCACCTAATAATGAGAAATAATTTCTTTGTAATGTTAAAAATAAAAATTAATAGAAGGGATATCAAATGTCATTGTATTGTTTGATAATAAAGGACCATTTATTATTATAAAATTAGATATAAGTGAGTAATTTATTATTATTAAGATAATGAGTAATAAGTGAAATAATAATGAAATAAATAGGAGAAAGTGTTTATTCAAAAATGCTTTTGACTAAATTAAATGAGGGGTTATAAAATTGATAACTTGAATGCAAAAATAATTACTAATAACTAAATAAATGAGTGAGAAGGACTACCAAACTCTAAAAATTATTCAGCAATTATAATATACTAGAGGGAATGGACGCGCTACACGCGTTCGTACATTTGACATGATATAAATTATATGAAAAGAAAAATACAAATTTTTAATATTAAAAGTTTTGAGAGTCTCTTAATTGTTCATTACACTTTCTAAACCCAACAAATAAACAAAAATTTGACAAATTTATCGATGGTAAACAAAATTTTTGGTAAATTTAGTATACATATAAATAATATTTTAACTTTAAATAAAAGTTGAAAAAAAAAAAGAATACACCAACAGATTCAATTAATTTCTTCATGACAACTAAAAGAAAACAACAACGAAACAAGAACAAAAAAGTATCAAAGATGAAAACTACAATATCATGTCTTTGTAAAGGTTTCTGGCGTCAATTCTTAGAAAATAGATGATAGCTAAATTTCAGAACAAAAGAGGATGATGAACAAAACTAATAATTAGTTACCTTTAAGGATTTGGGGTAGAGCTAGAGATCACAATGTATAGATAAAAAACAAGGTTGGAGTGAAAGAAAAAGAGAGAATGATTATACTCTCACTGTTGATAATATATATGGACAAAATTTATTTATGATACCAAACTCTTAATATTCTTTTTCAGTTATAAAATTATTTCTCAATGTTTCATTCATATGATCATTAAATTTTTTTAAAAAAAAGAAAAAAGAGAAGAAGAAAAGACAATGAGGAGTTAAAAATAATGAGAATAGTTAAAATTTATAACTGTCATATGACTTCTCAAATTCACCTAATAATTATTTTTGTAATCAAGAACTTCCAAAAATTAAGTCTTTTTATTTTCTTGATCACATTTTATTATCTTTTTTTTTTTAACTAAACACCCAAACATCATACATGGAAAAAATAACATCAAAGTTAATGCATAAGAAAAGATAGCTAGAAAATCGAAATTAACTAATGCATAAAGAAGGACTACCAAACCACCAAAACACATTCTGCAATTATATATAATGTTGAGTATGATAAGTTGTGTGTGTATATATATATAATTCATAAACACGTCTTTGCTAGCATTAAAAAGACTTAAGTCACTATTTCGAGATTATAATTATAGTTTGATCATGTATTCATGAACTAGCTTAATACCGAAATAATAAAAGTTCTATTGGCAATGGTCAGCCTTTACATTAGTTTAAGGGTTTTTTTCAATAAAAAAAAAAAACATACTAGTTGAAACATAGAACAAATCAAAATATTTTAATATAAGGTATTTTGATTTGTTAATACGGATTTTTAATTGATAAAAAAATTTAAAAAATTCGCATTTTTACTGTAAAAATATATTTTTAAAGTTTTTTTAATCAATAAAAGATATGTACGTGAAACTAGGACAAATCAAAATGCCTTTTTTTTTAATTCTTATGTTGATTTTCCACATAAATCCTTGTATTTTTGTAATTCTTATGCTCTGCATTTGTCATTTTATCACGTCATCACGAGAGATGAGTTTCTTCCATCCATTTACTCCCGGATTCCGATCGGCCTCAACAATACGCAGTGTCATGACTGAAATCAAGAACAAGTCCCCCTTTAATGTACTAGTCTAAAGATAATAAGGCATAAAAAGACTAGCTAACGTACGAAAACCGAAACAAGCATTTGACGAGGAGGATATTCCTCCCCAGTTTGCAAGTGACCAGAAAGTAAAACAAAATAAAAACTTACTTTTATTATTTACTGGAATCCGTAAAAGTACTTACAAACGAAGAAAAAAGACAATAAGCACACTAGTCTTTCTTTCCTCCCAGTTCAAATGTGGTTAGTGCCGTCCAGTTCTTAACAAATTAAGTTTATTTATCATCTTATACGCCCAACGACCTTATCAACTTATCAATGACTTGATCTTAATTTTTTTAACCATCTGATTAGAAATCGGTAACAATAATCAATTGATCTGTTAGTTTAAAATAAACCCTGGATTTGGAGGGATGTGAAATTATTTAAAATGTGGTTGTGTTGGCTTTTGGTCGGGAGGGCATGAACCGAATCCAACGGGTCTCACAAGTCACAGGTCAACCAAGTTGATATGCTCTGATTCATCCGAGGTCTTACTTTATTCGATACATTGTGATCCATGTTGCATTTTACTAATATGTACATATCACATTGAAAATGAAACCATCTCGTAAACTAGAAAAAGAAATTCACTTACTCCTTTTTTCTTATATCAATGATTTCGGTCTAATATCTAAACCATCTCTCGTACACACGAATGTTATGTAATAGTATAGATCCTACTTCTTAACTAATATATATGTATTTTTTTAAAAAATAAAATAAAATAAAATCGGGTTTTCATCTAATAATGATCTTATGGTATTGAAACAAAAACGTACTTGAAATATATTTTAAACTTTAAAGGAAAGTATTCAACTTCTGGCGTTACTTAAAAAAAAAAAAAAAAAAACGGAATTCCTATCGTTTACATTCCAAAACACAAAAACAAGTAAAATGCAATCCACAACCAAAAGTTAGCCATCAATGGGGAAAAAAAAAATCGCAGGCATTGTTATCTACATAAATTTTTTCTTGAGCTCGAGCTCAATAAAAAATTCATTCCTTAGTACCAGTTTTCGGACCACCAATAGCATCTTTGGCCACCGCGGCCAACGCCATTTCCTGCTCTGCCGCCATAGCTTCCTCCCTGAATTTCTTGTAAATATCACTCTTGTAAAACTTCCTTGTCCTCATTACCAAAATTAAAGAAATAACAGCTCCAAAAATTGTCACTGCGGTAATTATGAGGAAGGCCAACCTGAAGCATTCAACTCCCTTACAATCCAAATCCTCCCCTGCCTTCCTCACCAATCCTAAAGCTTTGAGCTGCTTTTTTGCTTCCTTATCGTACAAATACCCTGCAACTCTAACATTCAGGAGATATGCTCCCACCGGACTCGCCGAAGAACCGAAATTGTACAGAGTGGAGTAATATTTCAGGCCAAAAAGCTCAGATACTATGGCAAAGATCAACGGCCATTGGGCACCAAAGCAAAAACCTATAATCACTGATGCAAAATACAATCCATTGGGTACACCAAAAGCTATGAGGAGGTGACCAACGCAAGACAGGACTAATGTTAAAGTGAGAACAAGGGTACGAGGAAATTTGTACTTTTGCAAGAGATGCTCTGAAACAAAACCTGAGACGACTCTTCCTAGGTAATTCCAGATACTCACCAGGGAGACAAACGTGCTGGTGGTTCTTTTTGGGTAGCCTAATGATTTTCCGATTTGACCCAGATTGTCAATCGCCGTCAAAGTTCCACCAACCCCGCAAATTGTTGCAAAGAATAGGATTAACATATCCAGACTGAATAGTGCCTGGAGTATTGTGAAATCTTCTCCCCTGCTTGGTGGCTGGAAAACTGTTGTCCAGCAAGAAGCTTCTTTGGCTTCTTCGGTGGTTTTTGCATCTGATTCCGACGTTGAGACCGGTTCTGTTTTTGCTGGATTGGTTGTATTCTTAGCCGCAGAATCGGATGTTTCAGTTACCACTTCCAATTTGGGAACACTTCCCAAAGCTCGCTTCTTGTTTGTTCTCCAGCTTAAAAGCTCTTCTCGAATAACAATTGAAAGAGGTAAGAAGAGCAATCCAACCATGGCGGCTGCACTGATTCCATACTCACCCTGTGAAAAATGATACTTCTTTTGGAGTATGATTAGGACCATAAGAAACCCGGCAAGCCCAAGTGACATGTAAAGAAATCTGTAGAACACTTTGAGCTCTTTTTCATTCCGAACAACTTTCATGATACGAATTGTTCGTAGGAAAACGAAAGAAATCACGGTTGGAAGCCAACCAATCATGAGAATCAGGGATTTGGAATCGTCGTCGTAGACGGCGTGGTAAAGCTGAGTGATGATGGCTCCACTGAGACCAACAAAGCCTTTTAAAAGGCCAAGCACAACTCCCCTGCTTTCCGGGAAGTTCTTCACGGCGGTGACAAGGGCTCCGGTGTTGGCAAACGACTGAGAATTTGCGCCGATGTAAATGTACAAACACATTTGCCATACTTTTGGTTTGGAGATCTTCTCAGTCACGGCTAACCAAATCATGAAGTAGCCAAAGAAGTTGAGAACTGCGCCAATTGAGAGCACAACCCAGGGAGGTGTGACTTCATTGATTAGGCCGGAAAGGATGCCAACTGTTGACCCCAAATCTTTGAAGAAACTAAGCAAATTGAGGGTGGATTGGTCATACCCGAGGGACTCTTTTATGTCAGCAGAGTAGAGCCCAAACATGTAAGTAGCACCGGCGGCTGCCATGATGAGAATGGCGGCAAACACCATGAACCACCGGCCGGTGATCACTTGTACTGCAAATCCACCCATGTTTGGACCTCCACCATAAACGCCGGCTAGAACCATGTTTGTGGAAATGAATATCTATGGTGATTTTTATTTTTTTTTTGCTGAAAGGAAAGAAAAATAATGGTATGCTTGTCTGCTTATAAGTTTAGGGGAGCTCATTTTTTAAATGGCTTAATGAGTCATCAGCTAACTTAACCTTTGACTTAGTAGTGTTGTCCTTTGTCTTTTATTTTGTACAAAAATCATACAAGATGCCACATAAGGATTAATCCACATTTGAACAGGAGAAATCCCTTTCAATAAGTAAAACTCTTTCAATAATATTTTAATCGTTGTTCTATATTCGTTGTCTTTTTATCTTCCTTTTATGTGCATGGATCATTATAATGTTACCCAAACATATAGTAAGAATTTAATTGTGTTAACTACTTAAGTAGAACAATTGGTATTTAGTCCTATGAAGTGTTCTACATTAATTGCAGATAAAACTTGATTATGATGATTTCAGCACTGTAAAGCTACGGTTTACTGTAAACTATAATCTTTTAGAAACAATGAAAAAGTCTTAAAATGAAAAACATAGTCGCTGCTTGTGATTTAGCCTTTGGTCATCACCAGTTTACGGTAAACTTAATCTTTTACAACAATGATATCTACACAAGTTCTGTCTTGATTATACTTTTCAATATCATCTAATCCCTCACAGTGGTTGTCGGAACAATAGCATCTGGTGCCACCGGGGCCAACGCCATTTCCTGCTCCGCCGCCAAGGCCTCCTCCCTGAATTTCTTGTAAATATCACTCTTGTAAAACTTCCTTGTCCTGATCACCAGAATTGCAGAAATAAGAGCTCCTCCGAAGGTCACTGCGGTTATTATGAGGAAGGCCAACCTGAAGCATACAACTCCATCACAATTCAAATCCTGACCTTCCTTCCTCACCAGTCCTAAAGCTCTGAGTTGCTTATTTGCTTCCTTATCGTACAAATACCCTGCAACTCTGACGTTCAACAGATATGCACCAACTGGGCTAGCCGCGGCGCCGACGTTGTACAGAGTGGAGTAGTATTTCAGGCCAAACAGCTCGGAAACTATGGCGTAAATCAACGGCCATTGGGAACCAAAGCAAAATCCAATGATCACCGATGCGAAATACAGGCCATTGGGTACACCAAAAGCGATGAGGAGATGGCCAACGCAGGACAAGAGAAGTGATAATGTGAGCACAAGGGTACGAGGAAATTTGTACTTTTTCAGAAGATGCTCTGATAGGAAACCTGCGACAACTCTTCCTGAGTAATTCCAGATGCTGACAAGGGAGATGAATGTGCTTGCGTTCTTCTTCGGGTAGCCTAATGACTTGCTGATTTGACCCAGATTGTCAATTGCTGTCAAAGTTCCACCGATCCCACAGATTGTAGCAATGAACAGGATTAACATATCCAGGCTGAATAATGCCTGGAGTATTGTGAAATCCTCTCCCCTGTTTGGTGGCTGGAAACATGTCGTCCAACAAGATGGTTCCTTGATTTCTTCTTCTTTGCTTGTTTCTTCTGCCTCTGTTTCTGGTTTTGTGACTGGCTCTGTTTTCCCCTGATTTGAACCTGGTTCAGTAACTGATTCTGATTTCTCAGTGAGGACTTCCAATTTGGGGAGATTTTCCAGAGCTTTTCTTTTGTTCCTCCAATTCTGTAGCTCTTCTCGAATAACAACTGCAAGTGGTAAAAACAGCAAGGCAACAGTAGCGGCTGCAGTGATTCCATACTCGCCCTGAGAGAAGTTGAATTGCTTCTGGATTATGATTACAATCATAAGAAATCCAGCAAGCCCGATTGACAAATAAAGCAGTCTGTAAAAGACTTTGAGCTCGTTTGCAATTCGAACAACTTTCATGTTACGAACGGTTCCGAGGAAAATAAAGTTAACCACTGTCGGAAGCCAACCAATCATGAGAATCAGAGACTTGGAATCATTATTGTACACAGCATGGTAGAGTTGAGTGATGATGGCACCACTGAGCCCGACAAATCCCTTCAAAAGCCCGAGCACAACTCCCCTGCTTTCCGGGAAGTTCTTCACGGAAGTGACAAGGCCTCCGGTATTGGCAAATGACTGAGAATTTGCACCAATATACATGTACAAATACATCTGCCATACTTTTGGTTTGGAGATCTTCTTTTCCACGGCTAACCAAATCATGAAGTAGCCGAAGAAGTTGAGGATTGCACCCATTCCAAGGACTACCGATGGAGGGCAGACTTCCATGATTAGGCCGGAAACGAGACCGACATTGGTACCCAAATCTTTGAAGAAACTAAGCATATTCAAAGTGGATTGATCATAGCCGAGTGACTCTTTTATATCCGGGGAGTAAAGACCGAACATATAGGTTGCACCGGCGGCGGACATGATGAGTATGGTTCCAAACACAAAGAACCAACGGCTGGTGATCACTTGTGCTGCAAACCGACCCATGTTTGGCCGTCCACTACTTTCTCCGGCGAAAACCATTCCGGCAGAATTGGAGATATTATGATGTTTTTTTCTTCTTTTTCCTTTTTGCTTGTGGAAAAGAAGGAAAGATGGCCTGCTTATAAGGGAAACTCTTTTCGTCGTTTGTTATATGGAGAAAATGACATGATGCAATAATGCATTAAGGTATCAATTAGAGTTGACTTTGTGAGTCACTATAAGGCAGACTGGATATGTTGACTGGGGGAGTTGTCCATTTCTTTCTTTTTTCTTACATAATGGACTATATAATACTATTACCTAAATTCACGTTAATTATAGGTGAACGAATAAATCTCTTACTTTCACAAATATATTTTTTTTGGAGCGGGATGAATCTCAAATGTCGTCAAAGCTCATGTTTAGACCGTTTACATTGATTTTTACTTGCTCGACCTAGATCCGATTCCTTTTGAAAAGCAATATCTTCTATTCACACAAAACTCATATATATGTTATACCGTCAAATTTAATTACTTCATTCATCCTGAAATTATTGTACAGTTTATATTTTTAATTTTAGTATAAATTTAATTAAAAGTAAAAATTCAAACTAGATAATAATTTTGAGATAGATAAAGTATCTTTTAAAAATGTCAATCAATCAAATTCGAATGATGTTTAAACTCACTGACTAACCATTCTTACTTTCCAAAAGAAGTTTAGAAATTGACTGTATACGGTCTTACAGCAACTATCCCTCCGTTCGAAGTGACCATTACTGAATTCACACCTTATAAGTCGGCCATCAAAAACTCTAGGGTGTGTGTGGTGGGTTGTGAATGCCAACTGGTTATATTGTAATATGAAACTCAAGATCCGTATCATACGCATTTAAGAACAGGTTTTGAGGTCGACTGTGTGTAAGAATCTTTAGATTGTTTTAAGGGGGTCCTCTTCGCACGTTCCAGGCACCGTTTATTTATAATTTCATCACTTAAAACGTTGGAGAAGCCAACCCTTATTCTTTGTTTACACATTTCTGCCTGTCACCAAACTGGAACTCACTTGGTCAACGGACTATATAGATTCCAATTGGTTGTAATATCTGTTATTTTATTCCAACTTGCAAATTGTCCCCTCTCGTTTCGTTGTTAGGTATATAGATCATTAATTTTAAGATTTCAGTATATCCCCTTTTCTTTCACTATTTAAGAAATTTTATATTTTTAAAATCCAATTTGCAAAAATTGTCCCCTTGTGTTTATATCCCAATTTGGGAAGCCTTCTCATTCCTTGTCAGCTTATTGTAGATAAATTTATGCCTGCTTCGTGCATTACAAAGCTTTAGAGATAATTACAAAGTCTTAATCTTCGTGATTTAAAATATAGTTACATTCTGTGAATTTCAGCAAGTACCTAATACCTCTACTAATTATTTTTTATAAAGATAGCGTGATTTGAATTTAAACTATCCTCTCAACCTCACATACATACCATTCAAATGAGAAGTGCAAAAATTAAATAGATGTGATCTAATTCTAATCCACATAATTCATTTTTACTTTTTTCGTCTAAATTGTCCTCGTATAATATCATTAATTCGTTAATTAAAAGTCAAGGGAGTTTTTTTATATGTATATAAAAGAGTTGTTAATTACAACCCGCTAGATGTGAGGATTTATAAAGAAGATTTCTTTTAGGGTTTCTTTAGATATTTTCCATAATCAAATGATAGGTGGTTAGTTAAACCTCTAGTCTGAGCATGAATTACGGAGAAGATTAGATATTGGATGAGTTTCCAGGAAAGCAGGTAAGAGATTTATTAAACAAATTCAGTTCATATTGATCTAAACATATTCATAAGTTCCTGCTTTCCAAAGGGAGTCCTTCCAATAATTGAATGGAATTGAATTGTTATTCGTTTGCCACATAATTTTGTGAATACAGTAAGACCAATCTTTCTGCATGTAGCATTTTTCTTTTTCCCTTCTTGCAATATATAACTCTTTTTCTTTAACTAGTACAATATCTATAAAAGATGTTTCACTAATACGAAAACGATTAGTATACATATAAATACAGCATTTTTTAATTTTAAGTTTGCATGCGTCAAGCAAGGCTGCGCTGGCTGTTTGACAAATGATTCACATCACAATTGAATGAATTAATAAATTACACCACATTGCATTGACCGCTACTACGCCAGTGGAAATGATGCACTTGTGATTCGAGTCAGGAAAGAAAAAAAACTCCACGATCTTTGGATAAGAGAGCCGTGATGCCGCCATGCCTTTCCACAATCAACCAAAAGACATCGAACTTTATTGAGATAAGAAAACATGTCATACTGAATAGTGTTAATATGTTTTATTAAAAATAAAAATATAAACTGGACCGTCATTTCAGAATAGACGAAATTTAGAAATATAGAGATCAAATGACATATGAGGATTGGAAAAATTATTCCATAAAGCAAGTGTATTCTCTTTTTTACTGCAGCAACATACCCATTATACAGAAAAATATCTTGGCCCCTTAATTTTGTGGTAACTTTTCCGATGAAATTATAATTTTGCGCTCTTTATGTGTCTGGTTGTACAATCTTACGTGGTACATCTGTATAGAAGATTTTCTCGGAGGACTAAGATGATAGTGAGATTTGTAATGTATGTTTCATGAATGTAGGACTCACGAATGTGGGTTAAAGAAAACATGTGCTTGGGTGACTCAAAACTGTGGGACTCACAAAATGGATGGTGCATGAATAGTATTCTTTCTATTTCAAAATAAGTGTCATTAGATAACTTGTACATAGTTTAAAAAATACTTAAATAGGAAATTTATATTAATAAAATATGCTCAACCAGCTCCATTAAAATGAATTATTGTTAATAATATTATTTCTTTCGAGGATAAGTTTAGAAATTTCGAATAAAAAATGCATTCAAAATCAGAAAACAACACTTATTTTAAAAAAATTTTATTTTGCTAAAACGATATTTATTTTGAAATTAAAGGTGTACAAAAACATACTTCTACGTCATTCTCCAATGAAGTTTTGAGATTGAGGAAGTTGATTAACTTCATTTTCATGTCTTCATGATTGGTGGTAAAACCCTCACATATCTTCTGTTCATAGTACGCGTCTGCGAGTTCCAAATCTGAATTATTCACGCAAAATTAAACAAATTTGAAAAATAATAAACTGAAACGATACTACAAAACGGTAATGATTAATTAGTTGAGACTGCGTAACTAATATTCACATAATTGATTAGTTGTCAACGAATATTTTATATTGTCATTAAACATCATGAACAAACATAATCTAAAATCTCACCACCGACACTAGATTGCACTCATCCATGTATTAATACTCTCTCTGTTCCAAAATAAGTGTCATTAAGCAAAATGAAGAAATTTCAAAATAAATGTCGTTATCACATTTTAATGCACTTTTTTCCAAAGTTTTTAAAATTACCTTCACAAGTATTAATACTATTGGTGGACATGTTTTTAATGGGGTTCGTTGAAGATATACAAGTAATTTTATTATCATATTTAAGAGTTTCTTAAATTATGTGCAAAGTGTAGAATAATACTTATTTTGGAATGAAGAATTATTTAGTAACGCAAAAAAAAATGGGAGGGGGAAGGGGACGGGAAAATCCCTTTTTTTCCCCAGTCGATCAAACTAATCAAAACACCTTTAAAAAAGGAAAATTTACAAGTCCGGAATTTGAAAATTAGGACATAAAACAGTTTTAACTCTTTTAACACTAACGAAGTGTATGAAACTCAATAATGAAACTATTTATTAATTTCAACGGTAGACACCCAAAAAGAGAAAGAAAATCATCTTCACACTTCTTCATTTGTCAATTGTCATATGGTTATGGATAAACAGTTAGAAAAAACCCTCTCTTTTTCTCCACCCTCTTTCCCAGCCGCCACTCCACAACAACACATTCCTCTTCCCCCAACCATCTGTAATGATGGTTGGGGGAGGAGTCAAATTTCCCTTTTATTTTATTTTTTTCTCATTTACTCAAATAAAATCAAAGTAGCGCCCACCAATTGATCCGGTGACCAGTTCCAGACGAACAACTCCAGACGAACCATCGAAGAACAGCCGTTGCTGATGCAGATCAGGCACTGCCCTGGAATCGTTGGCCGTGGATTAGCCGCCTGGCAGTGTTAACTGTCGCAGTCTGAGTTGTTACTCAGATCTGATTCTGCTGCCACTGCCAGAACGCTCCTCTCCCCGTCGCCTCGATCTCCCGCAGAAGCATCTATCGCACCTTAGCTTAACACATCCGGCAGCCTCCATAGTCCCATTCTGTTTTGACATATGCAGATCGAGACTCTGATGCCTCATATCTGAGAACAAGCGAGAAGCCCGACGCTACGGAGGTCCACCATCCGCTGCTGCAAGTCGGCAGCTGTCACAGCCGTCACCACCATCAAACCAGCTTTGCCAACCATTTTCAAAGTTGAATCTCGCTCCATGTTGTACAACTGCTAACTCTCAGAAACCGGTCTGCCGGTCCTCAATACCCGGTGAGTCGGTACATATCGGTTCGCCGATCTGGGTTACAAACAAATCCAAATTGGTCTATATGGTTATTTTATATGTTTGGTTCAGGTTCAGATTCGGATTAATTATATTTTAGTGATTCTTTTTGGAATTAATAATATTTAATTTTCTATATATCACTCACAGATTTGGATTCTCCATATGCCCACTAAACGCGAGAGTTCAGATCTGTGATCCGAAAGAAGCGAATCACGATGGCAGAAAATTTAGCATGCTGTTTTTTTTTATTCAGTTACTAGAAAAATAGTTCTGAAAATTTCAGAAAATACCATACATTGGACATAATTTCGTAAAATTTCAATTAGGTCTCTTTTGAAAATATCAGTATATTTACTGATATTTAAATCTCGGTCTTTTTTACGATCTCTTGTACAAGGTAAGTCTTAAGCACTGTCCTGAGAAATATTTCTGGTTATCTATAAATTTCGCAGGTAAAAAATAAAAAAAAAAAACAAAAAAAAAACTGTCATATGATTTACCATTGATGCCCGCAATCAATTTAATGGAGCCAAAAAACAAAGAGTAAACACTAAACTGGATGGAGATTATCTGTAAAGACTGAAGTTTTGTACCCTTCTCGTCTCAAATGATTTCTAAAATTCACAAAAACAAAATCGACTTAAATTTGGACATTTGACTATTGACATGGTACATTAGTATATATATATACTATTAGTATATATATATATATATATTTGGGGGGTAAAAAGTAAATTAGCAATTACAAATGACCTAATACATAGTTTAGTTCGACTAAATTTTTGGGCTTGCTTGTTATTTACATTCCAAACGCCCCATCTTTTCAGTGTAAGCCCAGAGGTGGACATGGCAATTTGAGAAATTGGGAATGTTGGTGTAAAAAAGTCTACATCGATGTATATGTTGGATGCCCGTTACGAGCAGGCAGAAGAAGAACTTTTTCCTTTTTGGGAAAAGGAAGAAGAACTTTATTTTAAGAGATAATTTTCCGTCTTTGAATCAAAATTTGGATACACAGACCATTCAGACACCGGGCCATAGTGAAACGAAAGGAAAGGGACAACGTGCTCAACAGAATTATAGTACAATAGCACAATTGTAGCATTTGGTTCGGAGAATTCCATGAAATAAAATCCAAAAAGCGTAAACAAGCAGAAAAGAGATAAATATATTTTCCCTTGTATGGCATATGCGTGGTATTTTACACTGATTCAGCTGAGAGGTTGCATATATTTTCCCTAATTAAATTCCCAATATATGCTTGCCATTAAAATTTAGTACTTCCCTTAAATCTTTTTGTTGCAAAGTTTAAATTCTTATCCACAATGACAGAATTTCAACTGAATTTCCATCCATTATCCACAAAACACAATCCTAACCAAAAACACAATTCTCATGCCGAGGAATCTGATACCCAGAATCTGATAAAATTTCATGATTTCATCCTCTCTGTCTTCATCCACCGTCATCAGTCTCTGACTGACTCTTTTCCCTTGAGTTTATCTTCTTGAGCTACCAATAATTAAAATCCAAAACCGACATCACAAAAAAAAAAAAAAAGGCCAAAGAAGCAGTAAAAACTAATGGAAGAAATCAAGGGATGTTTCCTGTTGCAATTCCTACAAGGAAGATGGTTCATGATGTTTGCTTCACTCCTGATCATGACAAGTGCCGGTGCAACTTATTTATTCGGCGCATATTCTAAGGTAATAAAATCTACTCTTGGCTACGATCAATCCACATTAAATCTCATCGGTTCATTCAAAGATCTAGGCGCAAGTATAGGAGTGTTATCTGGATTATTAGCCGAAGTAGCACCATTTTGGTTTGTGCTTTTGGTCGGTTCCGGGATGAATTTTGCCGGGTATTTTCTGGTCTGGTTGGCCGTAACCAAAAGAATCCGAACTCCAAAAGTTTGGCAGATGTGTTTGTACATTTGCATCGGTGCAAATTCCCAGAATTTTGCAAACACAGCAGCCCTTGTTCCAACTGTTAGGAATTTCCCTGAAAGGCGCGGAATGTTGATTGGATTGCTGAAGGGATACACAGGATTAAGCGGTGCTATTTTTACACAGCTTTATTTAGCAATTTATGGGACCGATGCCAAATCCTTGTTGCTTCTAATTGGTTGGCTTCCTGCACTGATTTCATTAGCTTTTATATTTGTGATTAGAGAGATGAAGATCTCGAGTCATCCCCGTGAATCCAAAGTTCTAACCCAGAACCTAATCATTTCAGTTGTTTTGGCTATCTGTTTGATGGTACTCACAATTGCACAAAAGTATTTCAAGTTTTCTCATCTTAAATACGTCGCAAGCGCAACTGGTGTTTGCATTTTGCTGTTTGTCCCTTGTTTGATTGCAATTAGAGAAGAGAGATCGGATTGGAGAAAGAAGAAGGAAGAATTATCAAAACCAATTGAAAGGGTAGCAATTGAGGAGCCACCAATCCCTGAAAGTACTCAATCCCCTCATCCCCCTGTGTTTGTTGAAACAGAGAAGAAGGAATTCCAGGAAACCACTCATTGTTTTGCACACATTTGTAATAAGCCGAAAAGGGGTGAAGATTACACCATTTTACAAGCTCTGTTAAGCACAGATATGTTGGTCGTTTGCATTTTCACGTTTTGTGGGCTTGGTTCCAGCTTAGCAGCCATTGATAATCTAGGCCAAATTGGGGAATCATTAGGATACCCGACGCAAACGATCGGCGCATTTGTTTCATTGGTTAGCATTTGGAATTACTTTGGCAGAGTCTTTTCTGGGTTCGTCTCTGAGAAGCTGCTGATGAATTGGAAAGTTCCCAGGACGGCAATGATGACGTTTGCGCTGGTGATGCCCGCCATTGCTGACCTCATCATTGCTCTGCCATTTCCGGGCTCTGTTTACATCGCCTCAGTGATGGTTGGATTCTCGTACGGCATCCAATTAACGATGCTGTTCGTGCTGACTTCTGAGCTTTTTGGGTTAAAATATTACTCGACTCTGTTCAATTGTGCTCAAGTCCCCAGCCCGATTGGATCATATGTACTCAATGTGAACATTGTTGGAAGGCTTTACGACAGAGAAGCCCTGAAGCAGCTGGCTAAAAAGGGGATGACAAGATCAATGGTGAAAGAATTGACCTGCATTGGATCACAGTGTTACAGATCGGCGTTCTTGATTCTTGCCGGAGTTAACATTTTCGGAGCGGCTGTATCGATGATTTTGGTGATGAGAACTCGGAAATATTATGCTTCGGACATATATGAGAAATTCAGATGTAAGGTTCAGACCGAGGAGGAGGAGATGAAGTGATCAACTGATCATTAATTTCTTCACTCAAACATGGTAGAATTGATTCTTTAGGTAATTGTACTACTTCTTTATGGTTATCTATTATGATATTCTCTCCATTCCATTTCAATAGCCTCACTTCCTTTGTTGGGATGTTTCAAAACTTAGTCCCACACAATTAATTAATTTTTTTATAATTTCTCTAATATACATTTTCCCCGGTCACTGAAATCAAGAACATTTAATTAATTTCAACTATTACTCTCTCATATCAAATTATCAACTAATAACTCATTAGTCATTAATAAAAGTGCAGTAGGAATTTTATTTAAAATTAACTACATAAACTATATTACCTACTTTTTCTTAATCTCTGTGTATGTCGAAATGAGCCGATTGAATTGGAACGAAGGGAATAAATGGTTAAATTCAAGTGCAAACAACGTCTTTTCAATTTTGCAAAATTGAAAACCTTCTATCATTGATCATACTGGTTTTTTTTTTCTTAGCAGTCGGTTGCAATACTAAGTCAAATCACAAATATAGTGTGAGCAATACGAATGAAAATTCTTCTTCTTTCTTTCTTTTTTGTCTTTTTTTTTTGGGGTTGGCTTAAATTGATCATGAATTTCCATGAAGACTTAAAGAAGTTACGTAAGATGCTAAAGTATTTATTCAGTTGCATTCATTTTGCATGTCTACATCAAGAACTCAATAATCCGTTGCCAAATACGGAAATGGCTATATTACGCTCTCCTCGATGTGTTGAACTGGACTCCATTACTGTCCTAAAAAAAAACTGATCCCACTGGGATATTAACATGTTGCAACTCGTTAATCATATTCAATCAAAATCATAAGCGTATATACTTTTAACCAATCTCAGTCCAAATATGAGACGAAATTCGTCCTCATTTTGTCGGGAGACTATAATAATCATATAAAAAAAAAATGCACATATATATAGATAAGTTTTAATCTACGTGAATTCAATTAATTACTTCTTCATTTTATTGCGAGCGGTATTATTGTCAAACAAACTTATATCTGTACGTATATAATTTTTAACCAACCTGAACCCAACTGTAAGACAAAAATTAATCTTCTAACCAAAAAAAGAATTAATGGTAAGTTTGACTTATTTTAGTGGGTTAAGGAAGGCCCAAGACGAAAGTGTTCAATAGCCCACGAAAGTTTCCGAAACAGTGTCCGGTATACGGGTATAGCATTATACATATCTACACTCGTTACTGTATTTACATTTTCACTAAAAAAAACTAGTTTGACACTTTGACTTACCATTTTTGTTTCACTAAAAAATACGTTTTTTGTTTCTAATTATTTACATTTCCAAGACTATACTAGTAATATTTTCCAATTAAACCCCTAAACAAAAACTAAAGTCTATAGAGGAAATCTATGTGGGCACTTCTTTTTGAAGATAATATATATATGTACATTGTATTGTATCGAAATAAAAGTGAAACCGAAGATTAAAGAAAAATGATCTCCAAATTATTGAGTTATATATATATATATAAATTCTCTAAACCAGAAAATTATGACAACCGATTCAAGTTTATTAACAAAAAACAACTCATAACTAATGTAAGTTGATTGTTACTCATTTGATTTCATTAGTTCCACCTGATATCAAAATCAAAACTATAATACTAAAAGTGGGGTGAATTATTTATGTACTTATTAACTCTTAAGAAAAACCATTTTAGATTAAAATGGATAATAATATTCTATTTTTTCCAAGTGGTAAGAATGAATTATCTACTAGTATCAAACATGAATAATATACCATCTCTGTCTAAAAAAATAAAAAAATAATTCACATTGAGTTTTTAGATGTGAATATAACTTGAATCAGAGTAATTATATATTATATATCGTGATATTTGTGTCAAATTGTAGAGATTTAGTAAGTACCGACTCACATCTACCAAATTATTGATTGTAGACTCAAATCACAACACAACATGAATATTCGAAATAACATTAACTAGATAAAATTTTTTGGACGATCATGAGTTTATGCATATGCTAAGCTGTTAACTTGATCAAACAACTGACTGCGTATCCAACACATATCCTTGACGTTCATAGTGATAATATATAGGTCAATTATTTCACATATTCTCTATTTGACGTGCGTGTTAAGGCGTTAACTTAATCAAACAATTAAACGTAAACTCGACACACATATAATTAATTTTCACAATAAAAGGAAATAAATCATTCCTTTTTAATTATTATCCTTACCATTCGACTTATATGTAAAGTCGTTAATTCAATTAAATCAATTATAAATTCATCGCATGTCATTAATTTTCAAGTCGAGATCAGATAATTTAGTTATTTTAGATGATCACCGTTCGACGTATGTGTTAATCCATTAACTTAATACAAGCAAACCCTATGATGTAGCAAATACATTTTATTATCCTAAAATCTTTCATTTTCTTCGTCAATTTTAAAGAGTATCGAAAATCAAATGCAAGTCGAGAAAAGAGTAAAAAAAGAAAAAGAAGCACCGGATTTGGTAATAATAACAGAAATGAAGGACATAAATGCAAAGAAAACGGTCCGTTTTCCACCTGCCTCAGCGTACAAGTGTACTACACACCAATCCGGTCCAGTCTTCATCATTCTGCCCTTTTTTGTTATTCACACTCCAAAATTCACAGTCCACAGTTCCCAGTCTTCTTTCATTCAACCCTCTCTCATTCGGCGGGATGTTTTGCGCTTAGGATTTTGTAGAATTGTGGAAACGAAGAAGCCGAAAATGGCACCAACGTCGTCGAAAGGGAAGGAGAAGGTGGTCTACGGCGGCAAGGGTTCAGGCAAGAGGAACCGGAGCTTCGACGACGATCAGGCTGGCGGTGCGAAGCGGAGGAACCGACAAGTCCTTCAGTTCTTCGACGATGCCGCGTACGAGGTCGGCCAGGATGAAGACGACGACAGCGACGACTCATTTCTCGCTGATGACGGTGCGATGAATTTTTTTTTTTATTTTTTTTATCCTTTTATTGGAGGAATTTATCAATGTGTTTGGATGTTCGGAGACATTTACCTCTTGCATGTCCTTTATTTGTAATATATGTGTGGGAATTAGAGTTTTTGCCGTTAAAGATGGTGTTTTGGGGTTTCATGGGTTTGTGAAAATTGGGTTTAGGGTTCTGTAATCGGCGATGTGGGTGTTGATTGAGTTTGCTAATTGTTCATTTTCCATTTGTTCTGCTAAGCCTCTCCTTTTGTGGGGGTCGTTGTGTTCTTCTATTGATATTCACGATACTGGGTTTCTATTTGTTTGCTAATTTAATATATAGGTTCTCACGGTTTTTTTTAGTGTGATTGCAAACTCTGTTGTTACTTTGGGTTTTATTTGGGGTTATTATTGGTAGATTCCATCGGCCACTGACTTTGACACTGTGTCTTTTCTCCAAGCAGATTTCTTTGCAGATGAGTTGGACTTGGAGACTGTAGTTCAAATTGACTTTGAGAACGAACCTAATGGAGCTCCTTTTCTGCCCGTGAAAGAGGAGCGACCGACCGAAGATGAATTTGACATGTTAATGGAACAGCGGTATGCACCAGGCTCTGGCTTTGTTAGATATGCAGAAGATCATTATGAGAGCAAAAATGTAATGGATATTGATCATCCATTGGCTTCTGTCAAGGAACCCACTGTCTGGAAAGTCAAGTGCGCGGTATTGTTTTGAACTTCTGATTCTGATGTGGGATTCATAGTTTTCTATTTTCCTTGGTATTATTATTTCTTTCTCACTGTTGGCAGAACACCTGGCAACATAAGATTATATCTAGTGAGGGACGAATGCTTATTTGTTATTTTCTGTGTGTTTTCAGGTTGGGCGTGAAAGGCATTCTGCATTCTGTCTCATGCAAAAATACGTGGATGTGAAATACCTTGGAAACAAGCTGCAGATCATTTCCGCGTTTTCAGTTGACCACATTAAGGGTTTCATTTATGTCGAAGCTGATAATCAGCGTGATATTTATGAGGTTGTATACTTGTATATTTACCATTCTTGTCATTAATTTTTAAGTTTGGGAGTGTTCAGTGCCAGCTTTTGTTACCATTCTTGTATACGTGATATTTCTGTCGTACACTTGTGCTTAATATGATACCTAAGGGTTTTTCTAATTCGGTGTCATCTTTGCTCTTGTTTCAGGCTTGCTATGGTTTGCCTAACATATATTTAAGTCGAGTGGCACCTGTATCAAGGGATGATGTTACCCTTCTGTTTTCTGTACGGAGCACGGGTAGTAATATTAAAAAGGGAATGTGGGCACGAGTGAAGAGTGGGAAGTACAAAGGGGATTTAGCTAAGGTATGACATTGTTGTGGTTGACAGAGTCTACACACAATATCCTTGTATTTCTCCTTACGACTTCTCAGTTTCCATCCCCTTTTCTTTTTATTATGTCCTTGTTCTAGACTTCCTTTTCAATCTTCAAGCTTGTAATTTATAGTTCCTTCTAATGACTTTGGAAAGTTGTCTGTTGCATTCTTGTAGGTCGTTGCTGTAAGTGATGGAGAAAAGAAAGTGACAGTGAAGCTTGTTCCAAGATTAGATTTGCAAGCACTGGCAGAAAAAATTGTATGCAGCTTTTCAGTCCTCTACATTGCTTTTCATTCATATATTTTTCGTAACCTTCTTTTACCTTTGGGACTAATGGAGATCCTTTGTGAAAGGATCAGAACTCATTGAAGTAAAGAAATGGGTGAACTATAAGTGGAGTGGTTTAGACAAGTTGCTGCTTTTTAACAAAAATTAGTCGTGGTAACTAGAAATGAAACTTTTTTTCCTGATGTTTTATGCTTTTCCTTCATTACCAAATAAGATTTGTGCGTAAGGCTTTAGCTTTTGTGATGCCTAGCTCCATGATTTGAATTCCGCTTTCTCCTTGTATGCCTTCTTACTTGTTTTGTCTACGGAAATATGTTGTTTTGATGATGTTGTAGTTGAAGAAACAACGTTGAGACATTTGTTAAGCTTCCAGTAGCCTGCATTGGTGATGGGCGTCGTGTTTTTCTTTTAGAAAATCTATTTTGCAGTTATTCTTCCTGATTACATTTTTAGTTGTGCACATTGCAGCTTAGACATATTTTCTGGATGCATGATCTCCACTTTTGCTTAGTGTTTTAAGTATTTGCTAACAAACAACAAAAACTTTGGTTAAAAGAAGTGCTTATAATCGTTGGAGTGGTATGGTTTAGATGCATAAATAACCATTTCTTTTCCTAAATCAGATAAATGCAAAAACTGCGGTCGACATTTCTTTGTCCATTTTCTGTGTATGAAACTATTCATTTTTTTGAAAAAATGCAATTTTCAGGCTGCATTCATTCATGTAATTTTGTCCTAAGTTTCTCTTGCTGATGGTACAACTATGTACTTTACTTTCAGTTTTTCTCTCCTTAATCAGCTTTTTCCATTCATATATTCCTCTCAATATGTTACTGCTGTGTTTATGCACATTACTGGATGTTTTTGAGTGTGAGATTATCTTGTACTTTATCGTTGACTTTGAAAACAGTAAATCTCAATACAAGCTGTGTTGATATTATTTGTGAATGAGAGGTTTCATCATGCGAACCTAAAACTCCTTCCTTTTCTGTTTTTGTTACTGCTTTTTGCTGGAATTGATTGTTTGCTTTTATAAAATACCTCTTTGTAATGCTTACAGGGCAGAGGTACTACCGCTAAGAAGGCTGTTACCCCAGCACCGAGACTCATTAGCAGCAGTGAACTTGAGTAAGTCCTGGCAACTTGTATTTTATTTCTGGATATATGAACAAAAATTTGATGGTACTGACAATGAATTTTGTTGCATCTCTGAAGGGAGTTCCGGCCTCTGATTCAATTTCGTCGGGATCGTGATACTAACTTAGTATTTGAAGTTCTTGATGGAATGATGTTGAAGAGGGGTTATTTGTATAAGAAAGTATCTGTTGATTCCTTAAGTTTTTGGGGTGTAACACCCACAGAAGATGAGCTTCTTAAGTTTGAACCTTCAAATAATGATGATGAAGGCAAAGATTTGGAGTGGCTATCCGAGCTTTATGGTGAACAGAAGAAAAAACGCTCTTTACTATGTGAGAAAGGTGGTGGTAAAGGTGGCGGTAAAGGAGATGCTTCGTCAAGCTCTAGTATGGGCAGTAATTTTGAAGTCAATGACCTAGTATTTATTGGGTTAGTGTGTTTTGATCCTCATTTCACGTTGCTTGTGACTAGCCTCTTCCCAAGTTCTTCATTGTGATAATGTGACTTGTTATTCACTACAGGAGGAAGGATTTTGGGATTATCATTGGCTCTGAGAAGGATGGAATGTTCAAGGTTTAGCTCTGATTCTTGTTTGATCCTTTTGTCGTTTTTTTTTAATTAAAAAAATTGGATTGACCCAATGAGATTTTGAACTCCAGTCCCCCACTTCGTGGTAATAGCAATCCTCCCTTACCACCCGACCCTACACTCCCAACCTTGTTTGATCCCTTTGTTGGCTTGCTTTCTTGGTTTGTTGTTCCAGATCCTCAGGCCAGGCCCAGAAGCACCAATAGTTTCCAATCTTCCGGGTCGTGTTTTAAAGAATGCAGTATTTGATAAAAAGTTATTTAGCGTACTTGACCGGCAATCAAAGAAGATATCAATCAATGATACAGTCAGAGTTGCAGACGGTCCATTAAAGGTTCATCACAACTTTTGGATTACAGGGTCTCAAATATTTATGTGAACTCTGTTGATTTATTTTTCTAAATTGTACTTGCTTTATACAGGATAGAGAAGGTTTTGTGAAGAGAATTTACCGAGGGATTGTATTTCTGTACAATGAAACTGTAGATGAGAATAGTGGCTACTTCTACATAAAGGCTCAGATGTGTGAAAAAGTTGAGATTGCTGTTGAAGCATGTAATGAGAAGGTATGTATTGTAACCTCTGGAACCATGTGCCTATGAGCTAACCATCACTGATTGACTGCCTGCCATCATAGGAAAACTGCAACCTAATGTGTAATTAACTTTGATCTGCTGTTGGCCACTTAATTTGTGCCTATTCATGAAAGCTTGGTTCGCAGTTGCCTAAAATCTGATTATAAACACTTAATAAATTGTCTCGAGTTTGGAGCATTGAGGTACTTTTAAGTCTTCGTAATCATGATGTGGCGGAAACTGTTGTCTTTTTGAATGTTATGTGTAAATTTCACATGCTATCTTAAAATATGATAATCCTCCTTTTGCTACAACTGGTGTGATACCATATGTTCAGTAATGAAGATTGCATTGCCTGTAAAGACCTTGCTAAATTGAATTTAGGGTGGAATTATTTGCTGTAAGTTTTCCCTATGGTTGCAAATTATACAAAGTTTTTGTCACACCTACCTGTGAGCATCATTCATTGTTACAAAGTTCTATGCTCATGGTACCCATCAGTGTAGAATCTGTTTTTCTCTGATAGATTCTGAGCTAGTTTCATGTGTTTATTTCATCTGTCCCTCTATCCTCCATCAAACAAACCAACCTGAAATCTTATCTGTTCGCTGATGAATAGAAATGCATTCCGGTGATGCTTAACTTGTATGTGGTTGAAGTTATTTTTCTTATACTACTATCAAGAACATAGGAAGTTGATTCTTTTATTCCTCTAATATGTGCTTCTGCAATGGATTTAGGGTGGTGACCCAGGCTTCTCAGGTTTTGGGGATTTCCCTTCTTCTCCTAAATCCCCGCTATCCCCTAAGCAATTTGATGAAGGAAGAGATGGTGTCCGAAAATGTGTGTTTCTAAATTCTACCATTCAGTTGTCAAGTTCCCATTTTGGGTTTATCATTATAATTTATATATTTATATTGTAGTCAAGAGGGAAGAAGATGCTATGTTTTCTGTTGGACAATTGTTGAGAATTCGTGTGGGCCCTTTGAAGGGATACCTCTGTCGGGTATTGGCAATACGGCGTTCTGATGTCACAGTGAAGCTTGATTCAAAGCATAAAATTCTTACAGGTTTGATTGATAAATCTTGCCTCTACATTCATCACATGAACAATATAGTGAATCTTTTTTTGCTGTAGTTATATGTATCATCTTGGCGTGAATCTTTTGTAATTAATTTTGTGATGTTCGTGTAGTCAAATGTGAGCATCTCACGGAAGTTCGTTCAAGAAGCTCTGGAATTTCTTTGGGGTAATATTTTATTGTCACTGAGCAATGATTTAGATGTCTGTCAGTTATGGGTTTAATCTTTGTGGTTCTATAAAGTCTGTGTATGTTGCCACAGGGATGACTCTGGCGTTACAAAACCATTTGATCTGCTTGGAACACAGGATGGGTCGACAGGTTGGAACCAATTCTTATTGCTGCTGTTTGGAATACTATGTTTAACCATTATTTGTTAGACAGAACGCTCTTCTTCACAACTCCCCCCACCTTCTTCCCCCCTGTGACATATTGAGAATATCACTCCTTAGTTAATGTTAATGAGAGAAGGAACTCGGTGCTGGTATGATTAGTTAAACTGACACTTATGGAATATATAGGTGCATAGAAGCTAGAGAAGCAGAATACTGTTGGAGTAAGACATGAATAAGTTTTATGTCTATTACACAACTGATTCTATGTGCCAGTTAAGATCTTTCTTAGTGGTTTTGCAAAAATTTTGAATTCTGATTTGAGCTCCTATGAACCATATTATTCTTCAGACAAGAAGAAATTGTGCTGTCCAACGAAGCTTTGAATTTCGCTAATCATGTTTGTAATCTCTCTCTGGTATCAAGTAGGAAAAAACGGAAAACGTGTAGTTTCACTTTATGAATGAGCTTTTGAAATCTTTAAGGGAAGGATTTAGTTTCTTATACAAAGACATCACTTTTGGTTTTCTAAAAAAGTACATTAGGGGTCATGATATGCTTAAAAAAATTCTCGCTGGCAAATTTGTGCAAAGATTAACTTATGATGCGCAGCCTTTTGGGCCGAGCTTCATTTCAGAGACCCTGTTTTTGAAGGGAATGCATAGTTTCAATTTTGTTAGGGAAAAGCTTTACACAGCCTATTTTTTGCTAATTTAAATAGGTTTAACTGCATGTAGAAGAGGTTGCAAAGTGTGACCTCTGTGACTATTGTTTATTTGCATCTAGGATAGGTTCCTTACAGAGCACTTTCTTTAGCATTATATCCCCTTCCCCAAAAAACTTATGTTTGTTTTTGGGAAGTAGCGTCATATTTTACTTTCTGTGTTTATTTAAGATTGGACGGATGGAGCCTCGAAACCCACAGAAGGTGGAAGTTGGAATGCTGATGGTTTTTCTACTGAAAGGTAACTGTTTGACATAGTTATTATGTTTTGTGTAACATGTGAGAGATATGGTGCAAACCTCTATATTTGATGGAGATTGTCTTTCAAGCTTCAGCTGGTGTTAAGTGTAGACACCAACACTAGCATTCTGATTTATTGAGAAGGATCTCATTTTTCTCTTCTTGGAGATTGCCATGGACAAGAAAAAAAAATTTCTTTAATTTTCTATATTATGTTTTCTTGTTTTAGCCACAAGATCTCATACAATCAGGTGACACTGTTGATTCACTGTCTGAAAATTTTATTTCATTGTAGGAGTTTGTTTTTGTAGATGCAAGAAAAATCCCAATGTATGAACCGTTTTTGTTCGTAGTTAAATAGTTATTTGGAATTGTATGATGTAAAGCACAAATTTTCGATATTGTGTGAAGTTCTGACACATTATAAGTGGTTGATTCTGCTGCTGTGTAGTGGCTTTCAAAGTCTGTTTTCAGCTAATATTAAACGTGTTTCCTAATTCATATTTTATAATAAACTTCAATTGTTTATTTATGTAGTTTTGTTTTTGCCTGCTTTTGTGGTTTTCTTCATCTTCATGAAGTCTGATTTTTACCCTCCTAGTAGGGCACCCTTACTTTTGTCTGTTGTTTGGCTGATTTTGTGTGATGATGCTGCTCATGTTTCAGGAGCTCTTCCTGGGAGACTAAACCTACTTCTGGTCAGGGTACTTCATGGGGAACAGCTGCAGCTGTTCCTGATACCTCTATTAATGGTTGGGGAAATCAGGAAGATGCTAGTAAGAAGCCTACAGAAGATTCTTGGGGTCGAGCAGCAGGTGATGCGAGCATCAATGATGATTCTAGTGGAAGCAAGTCAGCCTGGAATGCTTCAGGAGTTTCTTCAGCAAAGCCAACTGTAGGATGGGGAAATAGTGGAGAATCTTTTCATGCACCTGAAGTCACTATGTGGAATAAAGCCACGACTTCAGGCGAAGGTCAAACTGATAGCTGGGCAGCCAAGAGTAAAGATGGGGAAGGAAAGGACGGCTGGGGAAAAACTGCGGACGCCAGTGCGTGGAATAAAAATGTTGGAATTGCCGATGGAACCTCATCTTGGAATAAAAAAGATGCGGAACCTTCAAGCAACAATCAAGCTGGTGGATCTTCTTGGAGCAACCCAGATGGTGGGTCCAGTTCTTGGAGTAAGCAAGGTGGGGAAACCTCTTGGAGCAAAGGCAAGGAGGATGTCTCGTTGGAGAATCAAGATGATGCATGGGGTAAAACTACTGAACTTGCTGGTGGAAGTTCTTTGAATAAACAAGATGTGGAACCTTCATGCACCAAGCAAGATGGTGGATCATCTTGGAGCAAACCAAGTGGAGGTTCCAGTTCCTGGGGTAAGCAAGGTGGGGGATCCTCTTGGAGCAAACCTGAAGAAAAATCTTCATGGGGCAAGGACGATGTCTCATTGGAAAATCAAGGTAATGATTCATGGGGTAAAACTACTAAAGTTGCTGGTGGAAGTTCTTGGAATAAACAAGATTTGGAACCTTCATGCACCAAGCTAGATGGTGGATCATCTTGGAGCAAACCAAGTGGAGGTTCCAATTCTTGGGGTAAGCAAGGTGGGGAATCCTCTTGGAACAAACCAGAAGAAAGATCTTCTTTGTGGAATAAGGATGATGCTGGAATGGAAGATAAAGGTGATTTTCAATCTGGGAGTTGGGGAAGGGGCCGGAGCTCTGGTGTAACTAGAGGGAGAGGTTATAGTCGAGGAGGAAGAGGCCAATTCGGGAGAGGAAGGTCTTTTGGTCAGAGATCAGATAATGGGACTAGCGAGTGGGGTGGGAACTCAGGTAATGATTGGGGAGATGACAGAGACGGTGCAAATGGAGCCTGGTCTTCAGGGTGGAACAAGTCTATCGCAAATGAGGAAAATTGTGGGAACGTGGCAAAAACTTGGAACAGTGGTGGAGTTTCAAATGGTAGTCAGGCTAGTAGTTGGGGAAAAATGGCTAGTGACACTGGGGGAGAACACTCTGGATGGGACAACAAGTTCAGTGTGAAAACTTCTTCTGCCAATGTAGAAGATGGTGGAAGTAGTTGGGGAAAGAGAGAAACTCCTGCTGCAAACAGCAAGTCTGCTTGGGGAACTAATGCACCATGCTTGGAGAGAAACTCATCGTCTGCTGATGGTGGCAAAAGTGATTGGGATACCCAACCGGATAGTCTAGTCAACGCACCCAACTGGGGTCAGAAATCCACTGGCTCTGAGGTCGATGTGAGAGTTAATGAACCTGATTCTTGGAACAAGAAAAGAACTTCAGATGGAGTTTCATCTTCAGTTTGGGGTAAGAGCAGTAAGAGGGATGTGGAGGATGATAAGTTTGGTGCTTGGAGCAACAAGAAAACCTTGGATGGAGGTCCATCCTCAGGTTGGGGTCAGAGCAGTAAGTTGGTTGTAAATGATGATATGGGTGCTGCTTGGAGCGACAAGAAAACCTCAGATGGAAGTGCATCCTCAGGTTGGGGTCAAAGCAGTAAGGTTGTTGTAGTGGATGATAAGGTTGCTGCTTGGAGCAACAAGAAAACATCAGATGGAGGTTCATCCTCAGGTTGGGGTCAAAGCAGTAAGACCGATGTAGAGGATGATAAGGTTGGTGCTTGGAACAACAAGAAAACGGGAGATGGAGGTTCATCCTTTGATCTGGGTAAGAACAAGTGGGGTGGAGCATCTGACGGTGATGGTGGTTCCTCTGGCTGGGGTAAAAGCAAATGGAGTGGAGCAGCTGATGCTCAGGGCAATGAGAACTCTTGGAGTAGTAACAAGTGGAAATCAGAGAGTAATTTTGGCAGTGCTGCAGAGCAGACTGACACTTTTGGTGACAGGGGAAGGGGTGGATCGTGGAGAGGAGGTCGAGGTGGAAGATGGGGGCAAGATGGAGGTGGTTTTAGGGGTCGGGGTGGTCCTGAGCGTGGTGGATTTGGCGGCCGAGAAAATTCTGAACGTGGTGGATTTGGGGGCAGAGGTTGGTCTGACCGGGGTGATTTTGGAGGAAGAGGTAGATCAGACAGGGGAAGAGGTTTTGGAGGTAGGGGTGGATCGGACTGGGGAGATTTTGGTGGTAGAGGTGGCTCTGATAGGGGAGGATTTCGTGGTAGAGGTGGTTTTGGAGGACGAGGACGTGGAAGGAGGGATGACTGGAATAAAAATGAATCTGGTGAAGAAAATGCGTCCTATAGCTGGACTAACTCATCAAATAAGGATAGGAGCTGGACAAGTAACGGTAGTGGAGGGAACTGGGGTAGTGGTGCTGGCGATCAAGGAAAGTGGCAGAGTGGGAATTCTGGATGGACTGCTGCCGGTGGAGATAATAAACAATCCGCGGACTGGAGCAGTGGACCGAGCAAACTTGGTGGAAGTGAAGGTAGTGCCGGTGGCTGGAACAAGGGACCCAGTAAAGATACAGGTGGCAGAAGTGATGGTAACACTGATCGCTGGAATAGTGGACCAAGCGAAGATATCGGTGGAACTGATGGTAACACTGGTGGCTGGAATAGTGGACCGAACAGAGATATTGGCGGAAGTGATGGTAACACTGGTGGCTGGAACAGTGGATCAGGCAAAGAAAATCGTGGACTAGATGCAAATGCTGGTGGCTGGAATAGTGGACCGAGCAAAGAAGATCATGGAAGTGACACAAATGCTGGTGCCTGGAGTAGTAAAGGAAGCACTTTATCAGGCCAACCAGCAGCCGGTGAAGGTACTGGTGGTAGTGGTACTAGTGCTTGGGATAGAGGAGCTTCTAGTTCATGGGATCAGAAAAATGAGGACAAGGGCAAATCTGGGTGGTCATGGAACTAAAATGGTACGTTTTCCTTTTTCACTTGTGTTTTTCTGTTAAGTTTTATGCTGTAAGAATGTTTGGCAAAACTTAAATCTTTAGAAGCTTTTTCTTGAGTCTCGGATTGTTAGTGATGCAACTGATTGACAAGGTGGTCAACCAAAGTTTAATGTACATATGGGGACATAGACAATAGGTCTCTTCCTGAACGATTGTATACATGGTTTCATATCTGTGTTAACACTTTAGGTCTTCTGAGGTCAGATTTATAAAAAGGTTACTCAAAAAAGTTATTTTTTAGAAATTCCTGAAGCATGATCATTACTTGTAGGGGGAGATGAAGTGATATTTGTTCTCCTGCTTCGTCAGACCTCTAACTCCTTGGATAGATCTATGAATATGACCCATAGCGTAAGGAATTGGTGCAATATGCGATTATAGCAATTCCATTTCTTGCAGAATGATTCCTGGTTCTTTATTCTTTTTTTGAAAGTGATTTCCTAATGTTAATTTACAGCTGGAGCTAAATCCTCTAACCTTTCTGATTTCAAATTTTATGGCTAGTTAATTGTCCGAAAGTTGAATCTAATCATTTTACTCTACTTCATTTGGATAGGTACAGTCTAACAGATGCTAGAGTGCATGGTTCATAGAATGTATGGTTACTGTTCAGTGCAAGTCTTTTGGAAGAAACTCAGGGATCCAGCTCTATTTACTTATCTATTTTGCTAGGTTGGATGTTGGAGATGAGTTTGTTCTTTTGATGTTCGCTCTTAGTAGATGACTTAGCCCTCTGTAAATGCTCGACCGTTGTAGGCTTTATGTATGTTTGGTTTTTGTGATCAACAAACTTTACCGTTCTGAAACCTGGAAGAAAGGTTCATTTGACCAGTTCCTGAGTTAAATTGATTGCCCCAGGATTGAATGTTTTGAAGGAGCTTTAGCAATATTTTCTTGCACCTTTTTTTTTGCTCTTTCTTTTTCCATATACAGTGTTTATCCCGCAAATTGTGCAGGTTGTTCAATATTAAAATTAATGATATAAATAATAATTGTGTAATCTTTAATGTCGACGTGTTTTGTTATTTCTAGTATATTTGGAATAATTTTTCAATATTCAAAATCATTCCAATATAACTTATTGTCTATTTTTTTGCGTTTGGTTGATTTATAGTCTTCCATCTTTTATAAGTATTCACTTAATTTTTCTTAATGATCTTTTCAAATATTTTTATCGGTATCATACCTTTTAAACTTTCCATTACCATAAAAAATTTTCATTATTTCTTTCTATAATTTTATTTTTATCATCCATCTCTCTAATATACTTTTTGCAACGTTTCTTTAGAAGTTTCATATATTTTTCCAATGATATAGTATTTACTATATTTTCTTTATTGGTTGCATAGTTTTCATCTTTTGTTCTGAATTTGATGACTTCTCTTTAAAGTTTTATTTCTTGAAAAGTTTGCTATAATTATTTTATTTTTGAGGATTATCTCGGTTTCTTTTTTCATATTTTCTTGTCCTTTACATAATTTTTTTCCTTCATATAATTATTTAATTTTTCAATATACTTTTCTTACTGTTTATCTTTCACTGTGAATTTTATCTTTTTCTCATTTAGGAAACCTTTCTCCATCATTACGTTAACATTTATTATTTAGTATTATTATTATTTTACTTTTTTTTCTTTTGTAATTTTTACACAACATAATCAACAGTAATCATTTATTAGTAATGCTTGTTAAGGGTTACAAAGTATAGTTTCATTAAAAAAAAAGTTTACGATCAAATATCAACAACTGAAATAAAATTAATACACTAATCAATAAAAAAAATTTGATTAATGATTATACTTATCATAAATTAAATTAATATTGATCAGTGAATTAGTTTTTTCTCATTATGGCCTTCAGTATTATTTTTAACATCAAATTAATATTTTTCTGTTTTATCAACCATAAAAATTATGGGAAAAAGTTTACGGAAAATGTATTTTAATCAAGTGTTCATATGTGTATAGGGAAAAGTTTGGCCCATTAAGATTTAAATTCTCCCAATCCTTATTATATCTCAATGTTTTTTTTAATATTTTTGTATTAATATTTTTTTTTAAATTCTCACAATCCTCATTATCTCTTAGTTAATTTAGTTTTATATAAAAATTTACGATTTTACATTAAAAAATTACCATTAAATGATGAAGTGATGTGGCTGCGACATGTGGACTTGACTATCTAATTTTTTGCCATGTAAACTACCTTATATAATTTTATGTCACGTGTTCGATTGAAAATTCTCCTTTAATATATGGAGATTGGTGGGGTTCCGTAAATTACCATTATTAAATAAGGGACTTGTTTGATTAACAAAAAGCCAAAGTGGATAAAGTCAATATGGACTGTCATGGGATTTGCCCATTTAACACTCCCATAACGCACTAAAAGAAAGCTATTCATTGGACTGGAGAATGCTTTTTTCCTCCACCTTACATCCAAATTGTTTTCCGTGAAAATTAAGAATTTCCAAAACAAAACCTGACATTAGGAGATCAACTAAAAGTGCTAAGTAATTCATCTCAAAGTCTACTTTTGAGCTACTAATTATTTTTACTAATGCTCTAAATTGAGAAAAATAGTAAAAAAGGATTAGACCCACTTTGTCTCATTTTTCTAATTTACTATACTGAAATATCCTTATCCCCCAATATGTAGCTGATGATGCATTTATTTTTTTTTTTTGGGGGGGTTTATATTAAAGAAGAAAAACAAAAGCAGATGGAGAAAAATAGAAAAAGTAGGCAAAAAAAAAAAAAAAAATACATATCTGCGTTATGTAGGCGCGCATACAGATGGTTTTGGGGCATTCTTCCATCTCAATACCGTTCTCCCCTCCCTTTTCGGATCTATCAATTTCTCAATCTAATTTACAAGCTTCCTCACACCCTTCTTCCCCACACTTCCCATCTTCCGCTCTCCACACCCACTCTATACTGTCTATTTGGGATGCATTGTGATCAAAGTTGGACACAAATTCTTCACTTTCATGTGATTTTGTTGGCTCAGTTTCCAGGGTTTTGAGTTGATTGATTGATTCATTGTTCGGCTTCCGATATTGAATCCTTTTTGAGGTATTTTCTTTCTTCTTTTTTTTTTTCTTTCACTTGCCTCTTTCTTTAATGTTTGTTGAATTTGGTGGTTTTATGGAAAAAGAAAAAAGCTGCTGACTTGCGTAAAATTTGTATAGTATTCTTTAACAATGATAGAAAAGAAACGATTTTGATTGTTTTGTTTTTGTTTGATTGACGTTGGTAATGCTCTGTATTGTATTGGTTATCTAAAGAAGAGGGTCGATGTAGTTTCCTGATAGTTTTTCTGAAATATTTATAGGCTCTGGGGAGCTACATTTTGAATGTTCAAGAAGCCTTAGGGGGAAGACGAAATAGCTGCTTTTAGGATCATTTAGGACCAGGATTCTTTAATTATGTTCAACAAAATTAGAAAAAGAGGGCATCGCAAGGCCTCGAAATCAGAAGGTGCTGAGCCTCCGATACCTACCACAAATTCATCCCCCAATCCTGACGTCACTGTTAATCATGCTTCTGTTACCGCAGTCAACCCATCACAGCCTCTGACTCTTGCCGGCCTTACACACAATTCTGGAGGGATTGAAGTACTACCTTTGTTGAAAGAAGTTCCGCTTTTGGATAGGCATGTTTTGTTTATTAAAAAGCTCCAAATATGTTGCAATTCCTTTGATTTTACGGATACTTTAAAGAATGCCCGTGAAAAAGAGATTAAGAGGCAAACCCTCTCGGAGCTTGTCGATTTAGTGCAATCGGGTTCTTGTAAAATGAACGAAATTATGCAGGAAGGGTTAGTCAAGATGATATCCATAAATATTTTCCGCTGTTTGCCTCCAGCTTTACATGAGAACAAGGGGGCTGAAAGTGGTGATCCAGATGAAGATGAAATGTATCTAGACCCATCTTGGCCTCACTTGCAAATTGTGTATGAGTTGCTCCTCAGATATGTAGTATCACCTGATATGGACACCAAGATTGCCAAGCGCTATCTTGATCATTCTTTTGTGTTGAAGCTACTTGATTTATTTGATTCTGAGGATCCTAGAGAACGCGAGTATTTGAAAACTATTCTCCACCGTATCTATGGGAAATTTATGGTCCACCGCCCATTTATAAGGAAAGCGATAAATGATGTTTTTTATCGGTTCATCTTTGAGACCGAGAGGCACAGTGGAATTTGTGAGTTGTTGGAGATTCTAGGGAGTATCATAAATGGTTTTGCACTGCCAATGAAAGAAGAGCATAAGTTGTTCCTTGTACGGGCACTAATTCCATTGCACAAAACCAAGTGTGTTGCTTCGTATCATCAACAGTTGTCCTATTGCATCACGCAATTTGTTGAAAAAGATTACAGGTTAGCAGATATTGTCATAAAGGGGCTGCTGAAGTACTGGCCAGTGACCAACTGTGGCAAGGAAGTTCTTTTTCTTGGAGAACTAGAAGAAATACTGGAGGCCACTCAGTCTGAGGAATTCCAGCGATGTATGGTGCCTCTATTTAGACAAATTGCTCGAAGTATCAATAGCTCACACTTTCAGGTTTGTGTTAACTCTTGACTATATGTATTTTAATCAGTTCCATTTATTTGGTCTTGATGCCCACATGTTAGCTTAGAATTTTAGACTCGCCTATTAAGGATTTCTGAGGAGAACAATATGGAATTACCTACCAGTGATAAGAGTGGTTTTGGAGGGCACTGTGCGGATTTTGTTGGAAAATCATTCAAAAGTTGAAATTTGTTATAATCTGTGAAAAAGGGCCATTGATATCTCTGGAAATTGTTGCATGGTTGGAAATTGTATGGTTTGTGACATGTAACATATGTTTAAAACAAGTTCTTTACTTGTGTATGGTTAGTCTCTGTTGGTGAGGGTGGCCATGTCTGATGTTACAGTATTCGTGACAGTTAGGTGTTTGTTAGTGTATTTGTGGCAGATAGGTGTTTACTAGTGTATTGATGGCTACCTCAATTACTTGAATAGATTTGTTTTAAAACCCAAAAACTGCTCTCTGTTAACATTTTCTTGTGAGTTTTAGTACTGCACAAGTAGTTTCTATAATTTGATCGACTAATCCTTAAGATTGGAATGGATGAAAGATCAAATGACTTGGTAATTCTTTTTGCATTCATTCAATGCAGGACTGATTGAAGATATTAATCTTATTCGAACGATGTGAAAACTGATAGCTAATTTTTAATGCCTTATGCTGTATCTTTTTCACGGCTGACAAGCTAATGATATTTGCTGGTTGGTACTGGTAATTGCTGGAAAACAAAATGGGCATTTGTTAAGCATTTTGGAATACACTGTTATAAGGTTAAGTGGCAGATAGTTAATTATCTGTTATTTGCTTCAGTGTCCGGTTGAGATCAGATCCTTTGGTTTGTGTTTAACTTGGCATGTAGTCTCCCTACAATAGTTGGAAACTTTTTTTCACATGCAAATCTAAAAATGTTCTGGTTCGTGCATGACAAAATCTTGAAAGCTAATGTCCATATTTTCACTTCATGAATCTGAGATTTTACAGGCCCTATGGCCTGACAATTTATTTCCATTGACCTAGATCTTATATGGTTTCAGACTTTCAGTTTGTATCTAAGGTTTTCTTTTCGGGCATTGGATGAATGTACTTCATATTTAGTTATTGCTGTAGTAGTTTGAGAATTACTGTTTATCATAAAGATTTTCATGCTAAGGCACATTGCAGGTTGCTGAACGTGCCCTTTTCTGGTGGAACAATGAGCACATAGTGAGCTTGATTGCTGAAAATCGACATACTATCCTGCCTATAATCTTTGAAGCTTTGGAAAATAATATAAACTGCCACTGGAACCAGGCAATCAATGGGCTGTCGTCCAATGTTCGTAGGATGTTCCTGGAGATGGATGCCGAGCTTTTTGAAGAATGCCAAAGGCAATACGAAGAGAAGGTAGCTGGAGCTGGGAAGCTCAAGGAACAAAGGATGTTGAATTGGAAGAGATTGGAAGAGGCTGCTGCGAATGGAACTTGACAACATACAAATTGCTGTTTGGCTAACAGCTCTACTGAACGGGGAAGATGTGATTGAAAAAACTAACCAAGGTATCTGTAGATTTCCACTTCAGCACAGAAAATATGGAGAAGATCAAGGCAACAATGCGTAAGTCCTTTGGTATTGCTGATGTGCAGTAATTATCCTGAAAATGAACAAGTTTTGGTATCTGCCTTTTTGGCTGTGGTTTGTCAGCGTCGAGGGTGGGAAAGTTGGACCCAAATCCAAATCCTCTTCCTTCCTTTCTGCTAAATTTTTTAATTTCATTATAGCTTGTGAGGTTTTTTTTAATATCCCTTTCTAGCTACCAGTTTTCATTTGGCGTTTTCAATTTTGATATAAGGATTATGAGAATATTTTTTGCTAGTAGTTTGTGCCCTTTCTTTTGCCCTTCTGTCAAGGGAGTCCATTTTGTAGTTTTTACACTTTTAACAAAAATGGCTCTATTTTAGACATGATAGTAAGTATTTATTTGTTCAGTGGGGATGTCTTTGTCAACTTTCTTTGCTACAGCAAGACCGCACGATATGAAAACATATATAAGGAAAAATGACATATATATATATATATATATATTAAAGAAAAGGATGTGAAAATAACTCTACTGTCTACAATGTCTAGCATAGAGGCTCTGAAACTGATGTATGATCCAATTCCAATTCATCAGCCATTCATACTCTATCCTGTTTTTCTCTTTTCTTCTTTTCTTTTTTTTTTTTTTTTTTTTCTCTTTTCCGTTACATCCATCCATAATAATAAAGAAAAATCTCACTTCATCACTATGCTTATCTCTCAAAAAAGTCAACAAAACTCATAGGCTACAACTTGGGTTTCGCTTTCATCAAAATGGCCCCCACCCAAAGGAGAATAACAGAAACACAGAATGACCCATTGAGATTGAGAGCCTTGAATTGGTTGTTGAATTTTGATTACTCTTTTCTTTTTTTGGATGATTTATATGTACAGAGCGCAATCTGATAGTGACACTTCTTTCTGTGGGTTTCTTTTTTTTTTTTTTAAGAATAATGTTAGTAAAATATTCTTTCCTGAAATTCCTACTATAATGATAATAATAATGGTAGTAGAGCAGCAACTTGATTGCTGGTTAAGTGCAGGATTAGAATGACGCTGAATAGTAGAGACCAAAGGACGTGGTTGGACGATGATGATGGCGGTGGTGGAGCGCTGCTACCGAATATCATTCCCAAGAAGTCACCGTCACTGCCGCCACCTCCACCGGACCCACTGTAACCACCGCCGGTAGTGGTGCCGCCGCCATACGACATGCTAACGCTGTTGTCCCTGCATTGCCCATGTCCAAACATAGTATCAGAAAAAACTGTTGCAATTTCTAAAGATAATAAAAATGGGGGGATATGCTTCTACTTAAACATGACATAACAAACTCATCTCTGACAGATTCATGGGGTGCAAATTCATGGTTTCGGAACTATTCGCGAATGTGTTTCATGATTCATTTGTGTATTCAGCATCCTATACATCGATATCTATGATTGTGTATGACTTTAAATCATTTTAACATCAAGGAATGCTAGATCAGGCATTTCTATGACTGTAAGGTTCAAGGGGCTGAAAATGGGATTCCCCGATCCAGAACAAACAATAAGATTAGCAATTGGGCCCAATATCTTCTTACACCCCCAGTTTCGAATAGGGAGTGGGACCAAATTGGTTGACAAACAGTACAAGGCAGAAAAGACTGGGAGTGGAGGCCCACAATGAATGGGCTGGAAGGCATGAAGCAGAATCTATTACCTGCAGGCTTACCTCAGGTACATCTCCTCCTCCTACTACTAAAACTCCCCCCGCCCCCATTTCCCTATACAATATTCTTTCTCCTGACTCCATAAATAAAGTCACCTCTTCACAGCTGTTGGCGTCAGTTACACACAGTCACTCACTAGTTTTTATTATTATGAAACTAAAACCTCTCCTTTTTTTAAAATGCAATATGATACAGTTTAATATATGATCGACCCATGACACACTACTACTATTCTAATGTTCCCTTCACTTTAGGTACAGCAGACTACAGTCTTGTCATCTTCTTTGAGTGTTCATATATTCAATATTCATAAACCCACACAGGACAGGAGGTCCACTGCAATGCTCCCAAAAAAGTCTTGTCGTTAATCAATGATGAAGCCTATTTGTTTAAGTCCCGGATTAGTACAAAAGGCATCAGAACTTCAGAACCTCCCCCAACTCCACTATTATAATCACCGGAAAATGTCATGATTAAATTACTAATACTAACACGCTCTGACACCATTTCCCGATGTGGATACACTAATAATGCTAAAACTACCGTAATTATCAAAAAGCAAACAACACCAACGACATAAAGAAAAAAGAGGACAATCATAACTGTAAAACGGGAAAATAATGACAAGGCTATTGTTGGTCCAGCTGGATTACAATAACCTTCCGACTCATCACGTGCATCCATCTCCGGTGACTATTTTATTACTAGAAGGAAAATTACCCAAATTTCAACACAAAACGGACATTTTTGACCTGAAGGGTCCCTCAAAAGGGCACTTGAATAGGTAAAATAATTGGCTCAGACTTGGTTCAGAAAAAAAACTGCAAAAGGGTTGGATGTGGGGGGCATTTGCATGTTGGCATGTCAAAAGTGAAAAAGAAAAGGACGAGAAATGCTGGAATGCCCACTGTTTTAAGCACAGATGAACTTTCATCCATGGACAGGTTTTTTCAGTTGTAAAGACACACCCCATTATAATCTTGAAGGAAATCAAAGATGATTTATTAAGGGAAAGTACCTGGGACCACCAAAGACACCGGCGTTCATTGTGAGCTGATCAACTAGGCCGGAAGATTTGGGCTCGACGCTGGAGGCCTTAGCGTACTGGGCGCTGAGTCCATCGCCGGACGGTACGAAGAACGCTCCGTTTACCAACATGTCACCGTCGGTCCTCCAGTTCCACCCGCTCCAGTCCTTCTCGTCGGTGTCCACGCGCTTTGTCACCTGTCCTCCAAACACCCCACCAATTTTTAGTTTCCGATTAAGGGAGCGTGCGTTTCACATTTCACAAATGAAAAAAAAAAAAGAAAAAAGATACTTCCTTTTACATCACTTCTTTTTCCATAAAAGACTAGTACAACGCCCTTTTCTTTTCTTTTATCTAAATACTGTTACACCATACAATAATCCAGATTGGGAGTCACATTATGGAAGTAAATGAGAAAAGGATTCGAAACCAGTCGTTTTCTGAGCCACACACACAGTCACACACTGATTTGATTTCTTTCCTAAATTTCCTCGTGTTGAAGCTGACTGCTTTCATTTTATTGCATACCTCATGACTAATTGAATTGAAAATCAGAGTCAGTCTCAAAAAAACGTCACCGTCATGTAGTATAATAATGTTGCTATTAACTACAATTAAGAGACCAATTACATCAGTTTTTTTGCCGCCCCATGTTATTAGCTACTACATGTATCACTAAAAATATCCTCAAATTTTGGTTGATTCACTGTCCCCTGTGAATCTATTTCAACTGAACGCACATGCGCTTTCTTACTTCCCGCAGAACTTCACTATCATTTCATTTCATTTCACAATTTGACACACCAAACAGCCTAATAATTATACGACAATGATATGGATGGCACGTAATATGAACGCGCCACCGCTGCGAAAATCCGTCCAAATTCAAACACAAACATTAACAGTTAGTGAAGAAAATTAGGAAGATGATTTACCTCCTTGGCGTCGGGATCGACCGGAGCAATATACCGATTGCCCTGACTGTTGATGGTAGGATTAGCACTGCCGCCAATGGCATACATCTTCCACTCAGTAAAGTCATTGTTCACCACATGGATGTACCCTCTCCTACACCTAGGCATCCTTTGTACTAGCCCAACTCCAAAGTGATTAAAAGCAATTGTCACCTAATCATTTTATTCAACAATCATAATTCAATCAAAAAAAGTTCCCAAAAATTAAAATAATCACAAAACACACACACACACCCACACACACACACTGAAATGAAAAAGACTACTTTTTCTTTAATCCATTTTTAAAGGACTAACCTGCATGCCCGAATCCGGTAAATATCTATCATCGTGCCCAAGCAGCATAACTTCGTTGTGATGGGTAAAATAGTTGTTCGAGATGGTAATAGCGGTGGACCCCATGATCGCATCGATCAATCCGTCCGTACAATGAGACAGCGAGCAATGATCAATCCAGATGTTCCTCGACCCGAAGATTGAAATCCCATCACCGTCCGATTTGCCTCTCCACCCTACATGCGTTGGGCTCGCCCGTATGTTAGCATTCCCCGAGGGCACACAGTCGTAAATCCGAATATTGTGAATAATGATGTTGCTGACGTACTGCAACGTTATACAGCCGCCGCCGGTGATCTCCACCAGCGCCCCCCTGCCGTCGATGGTCTTGAAGCTGTTCACGATTAGCTCGTGTTTCAGCTTGATTTGCATGTTGGCCGCGAAAACTATCCATAAGGGCTCGTCTTGGATTACGGCGTACCGGAGGGTTCCCGGTTTCGGGTTCACCGGGTCCTGATCGGAGGAATCGGTGACGACGTAGATCTGGCCGCCTTTGCCGCCCATTGCTCCTTGCCCGAATCCAATCCCGCAGTCGGCTAAACGTTGCCGGTCGTTGGCCCAATTCGGGTCGCATTTCCAGCAATCGTCAATCGGGTTTCCGGTGATACATTGAGCTTGGTCGTTCTGTGTGGAGGATAGAAGCTGTCTTCTTGATACTGACGCATTCACCTTGCTGTCAAATTGCAACAAATTCGGAGTAAGCAATAAAACTGTGAGCTTACTAAAATGTGGAAAAAATTAGATGACCCCAGGTAGGATATTTCCTACACATGAGGGGCCAACAAAAGCCCTTTTGGGGAAAACAATACTAAATGATGAACTCATTACCACAGCTTTTGGGATGCAAAAATTGGCCTAAACAGACTACATTGTAGTTACCCATTCAGAAATAGGATGAATTTTTTTTTTCCAGAAACTAAGCTAGTCAAGAACATGAAGTCAATAATGAAGAAAATTGAAACAGTTTTACAAAAGGGTTTCAGAAATTGTACTAATATCCAGTAAGGCCTAGCTTTGAATATTTAAGAATCAATGGCCAAAAATTGGAAAAAAAAAAAAGAAAAAAAAAAGAAGCAAAGAACAGGGCATCAAGACCCAGGTTTTATAAATGGCTTCTGGGAGCCAAAAATGTGTCGCAGAAAACAGAGGAAAAACGCATTAATGAACACAACCCAGATGGGCATTGAACCTAAATTTGTTGATTGTTCATAATGTGGATGTCAGAAAGTTAATACCTTTGTACTTGTTGAACAACAGCTTCAGGGTATGGGTGTTGATGTGGTAGGGAAAGATTGAAGGAGGAAACTCTGTTTAGGAGACAACAGAGGAAGGTTGAGAGGCAAAGCAAGAACAGAATGCTCACCACGTTAGGAAGCATTCTTGAACAAGTAGGAAACAAAGGGCGGAAGTTTTTAACTACTTTTCTATAATGTCTCTAAAGCCTGTGTTTTGTAATTAATGCTTCTTTTTCGCTTAAGAGAAGAAAGAAGAAGATGATTTCAAGAAAGAGATGTCTTGCTCTTGAATGCTCAGGTTTAGGAAGATACAAAAATTGGGGAAATTTGATGCACCTTTATATAATACCACTGATATTAACCCGATTGAAATGTGAATCTTTTGCAGTAAATTAATGGACATTTGAAAGGAATTTTGAATTAAAAAATTGGCAAGATAATTGTAGGGTTTTGGAGGGATTTTAAGTAGAGTGACAATTGAGCAAGAAAAGAAGAGATTTAGGGGTGGCTGCAAATGGGGACGCCATCTTTTGGGGTTTTGGAGAGGAGCTGAGACTGGAAGAAGAGAGAGAGAGAGAGGAAGGAAGGAAGGGAGGAGAGAGAAAGTGTATTTCCCTCTCTTCAATTCTTCCTTGTAGTCTCCCTCGGGATTTTTCACATTCGTATCTTGGCTGATAATTATTCTTGAGGGAGGAAAATTAGCTCTGTTTTTGTTTTTTTTTTTTTTAATAGCTAATTTAAGATTGAAATTACTACCTATTTTGCAAAAATTAAATTGGGGGAAAATGGGGATATTTGGGGAAGGGGTTGGCTTATCTGCAGTGGGCGGAAATTAAAAAATAAAAACAAAAAAAAGGCTTACTCTAATTTTGTTTAGAGATTCTTTGCTGGGGTTTGTCACATTAGTGAATATTTTTGTTTTAACGTAATGACATTGATTTCTTAATGGTATTATATTTTTTTAATGTGATAAGCAAAACTCTTATTTTTAGGATGGAAGCATCGAGAGTATTTTCGTGCTGGTGATTTTTTTTTTCTTTTCTTTTCACTTTTAAACCAACATAATGCGTTTGAAGGCGAAATTAAATTTGAAAAAGATAAATCAGTAGGAGTTGATATTCATCGGTTTATTTATATTGTTTATGAGCTCTGTATGCTTCTTTTATCTTTAAATAATTGTACTATTTCTGTCCCAGAAAAATAGTCAACATTGAGTTTTTAAATTTGTACTAAAAATAGTACAAAACTCAAAATTCAATGTGGACTATTTTTGTGGGACGGATGGAGTATTATTTATTGTAGGACCATCATTTTTTTTTAACATAAGGAGTATAAGTTGCCATTGAAAATCTAATTTAAAAAAAGTTTGATTCGATTAAACTCCAGGGAATGCAATGAAAAATGGTTTCTTACGATTTTAGTGAATTAATCTACATCGAAAAGTGAAACAGGGAAGGACCTTTTCTCAACTTTGTATGTATGGTAAAAGGGACCCGTGAGGTAAGATTTGCTATAATTCATTTCTAAAAGCCAATTTCATTCATTACCTTTCAGCCGCATCAAAACCGCTGGTACCATTTGGTTATTATGGCCTTGTAATTTTTGGGCAAGCATTTCGCCTTTCAAGTCTACAACTCAAAAGAAAATATTACTTCTATATGCACAAATACGACTAGCTATTACTCTCTCCTTTTTTTCACAACATAAGTCCGGATTCTATTTTAGATTACGTCAAAATATAAATTGATATCCAAATTCCCAATGCATAATTTGTTTTATTTATTTTGTCCAAATTACATTTGTCTTCGTAATGGTACTAATGGAATGTCAATATACGCAATCACTTGTTAAGTAGTTGGTCTTAATAATAATTATAGATAAATTGAAACTTTTATAAATGCTAATTATTAGCTCTTAATTCTTGTATCACTCATAGTGAATTTACATTATTAAAAGGAGGTAGTAGTATTGCCTTATATACAAAATAATCAATCAGTCATTGTTGTCGATCCTAATGTAAGTACATTAGCTCCTACGTTGAAAATTGAGCTATTTTATTAGAAATAGATTACAGAATAGTAAAATGATTTTGAACTCCAATATTCACTGATTGGTACCGCACCTACTAGTTTTTTTGAGTTTTTCAGAAGATTCCAACAAATTAAAAGCAATTATTCTTAATAAAACAGTTATAGTATAGTTAATCCCCAATTAATTGAGACAATTAGTTCCAAACACCGGATGTGTGACATACGAACAAATAGAAATAATGCAGTTAAGGGTAGTGTCGAAATGATTTGTTAACTGGCTTGTTTTAGACACTCACCTGAACTAGTCAAGGCTTAATTGGGGGAATTTTGAGCAATAATTATGAGTCCTAATTATCACCGTTAAATCCAAGATTTTGGTAATTATTTCAAGCACTGAAATCATGTGTAATAAACTTCCATAAGACAAAAAAAAATCTTGAAAGTGTCCAGATTATATAGACATGTTTTGTACTCCATTCATTTCACCCTACAGTAGTAAAAAAAAAATAATAAAAAAAAAATCATGCGCCTTTCATTCATCATAACATTTAATCGTTAGGTTTATGAAAAAAAATCAGACAAATTGGCCCATAATAACGCGACAAAGTACTTTTTTTAACAATTGTTTAATTTAATTTATAAATAATATTAAAAAAACATACCAATCATTTTGAAATGCAGGAGATCAGTATGGTGTTTCATATTGTATCACTTGAATCTAATGTGAAAAACAAAGCTTTGGTTGGTGATTGCCGGATCTGCACAATACAAGATACTTAATCCCTCCAACTATATAAAGTAATTCAGATGCCAAATAAATCCTCAATAATTGAACAAACAATAGTAACCTTTAATTGACAAAAAGTAATATCTCAACCCTTCTCAAAACAATGTAAAATTAGTATCTATCTGTTACCAAAACAATAATCAAATAATGCCGGGCAAAATACATATACATAATGGTGGTTAGAAATTTAGGAAACACAAAAATCAAAATACGCTCCAAGTGAGACATCGAACATGGCATATTGCCAGAGCTTCTGATCTTAATATGTACAAGTCGGTGGTCCACCGGCCGGCTTCAATTGCAAACATAAATATATAGATATGTAAATTATAAGGAACAGAAAAAAAAGAAAAGAAAAGGGTAAAGATATATACACATGCAAGAGGAAAAAAGGATAAGAAGAAAAAGGCAGATACAGTGAAGAAGATCCAGCTATAAAACAGTCAACACTAGTCTTTTCCTCCCGCGGGAACAGATCATCTGAATTTATTTTATTTTTTAATTTTTTTTTGTTTAAAAACCAAATTTGCCAACTCAAACTTCACAAATATTCTCAATGTCGCGTGTCCCAGCTTAAGAGTTGCTAACCAATGAATTTTTGGAGGTGCCGATGTTCCAAAATCTTGGGATTTTAAAGCATGCATCCAATTATTACTTTCATAGTTTCATACTCCCTCCGTCCCATAATTATTGTCCAGTTTGGATTTTCATTTTTAGTTCAAATTGTACTAAAAATGGAATCTCAAATTAGACAATAATTTTGGGACAGAGGGAGTATATTTTTACATATATTTTTTTCTTAACGATTAATCCAGAGAAAATAACGAGGGTTAAGTGACGAATTTTGTGACTTGAAAACTAGGTGATTGTGTGTTCAATCAAATGTTTATTTGTACTCCCTCCATCCCACAAAAATAGTCCAGTTTTAAAATATACAATTCTTTTTTATTTTAGTCAACTCATCGAGGTACAACTCATTTTATACTCTAAACTTTCACTTTTACCCTTGTCTTCGTTCCCGGTCCTCCAAATCTCAACGCTGAAATGTTTCCTCTTTCTTGTCGGAGAATGAATTATTACAGCCGCCCAATTCAGATTACAGTCAAACATTAAAGATGAATAAAATTGCCACACTAAATTAGTTCATAAATTAAATCACATTTATTGTACAAATTGATGTTGAATAGCTGGAAATATTTCGTTAACATCGTCATCATCGTCCTCCCGACCGATCTTCCGTCGTCGAAAGCCATATTATTTTTCTTTTATTTTATTTTCTTTCTTGTTTCCTTTGCTTTGGGTTTATACTTAACTAGAAAAAAAAAATTACTTCTTGGAAGAATAAGCGTAGCAGATCAATTAGGCCTTGAAGGAGTTACTGGTGTTTGTGGCGGCGGCGGTAATAAGCGTTTTCCTTTGAAGAATGAGCGTAGCAGATCAATTGACGGTGGATTGTTCCAAGGCTATTTTAGTCATTTAATAGAATTTAATTTTGACTTTTTAAAAACTGGACTATTTTTTTGGGACAAGATTTTTTTATTAAAATAGATTATTTTTGTGGGACAGAAGGAGTATCATTACTTTCTAAATGATAAAAGACTAGTACATTGTCCGTCACAAAAAAATACTAACTCACATTATAATTTATCTTGTAGTATTTGTTAATATCACCTATACGAACAAGACTAGTCTGTGTCGCTTTAAACTCTTGCTGATACTAAAGTGTAACTGTAACCTGTAAATGAATTTCTCAAAATGTTGAAATTTATATTTTTAGCGTTTTTATTCCAGGTGGAACTTCCAAGTCAGCCATATACGGGGCTTCGGGAGAATCCATGTAGACATTGATTCATGTAACCAATTGAAAAAGTTTCAACAGCAACGCGTCGGGGAACTGCAAATGGGCACACTGTTCAATTTCAGCTGTCTCTTTCTATACTTATGTTTTTCCATTTCTTAATCTCACTTTATTACATTCCTAAGCCAATGAAAGAGGCTACAAATCCTTTTTGAAAATTTGAATATAATTATTTTGATTGCGATTTATGCAGTCATTTTTCTTTGGCCACAATTATGAGTACATGATATTTGACTAAACTTCACACTAAAATCCATTGCACTTTAGAAATTTAGGTATCTATAACTAATACTCCCTCTGTCCCAAAATTATTGTCCAGTTTGAGATTTCACTTTTAGTATAATTTGAACTAAAAAAGAAAACTCAAACTGGACAATAATTATGGGACGGAGGGAGTAAGTAATAATGACCCCATAATTATGTTTCTATACTTTTTTAGTCTTATTGGTTGGTGTTGCTTTACCTACTATTATCTTTTTCCATTTTTATTTTGATTTGGCCTCAACTTGTGCAATTATCAAATCGTAACGCCTACTAAACTCTCAGAGATCAGGTATTTTTGTTTGCATACCAAATTAATACAACCAGTATTAGTGTAATTTATTTATTTTTAATGAAAATACATTTGAACAAATATGGGATCCATGTCAGCAGGGGTCTTGGATTTTGTGGAGACTTTTGGATCTCAGAAAGAACACCTAAACAAATAGGCGCACGTTATAATATCATGGAGAGTGGAGACAATAACCTGTCGGATGTTCGGTCAAATAATCATCCTAGGAAGAAGAATTAGATCAAAGTGCAAATTTATTGAGCCAAAAGATTTTGATTTTTCGGTGATCCATTTTAGCTGAGGATATTTTTGGTCCCTTATCTTTACAACTTTACACTTTTAATCTCTTACTTTTTAGAATCTCAATCAATATTGGTTCCAAGATACAATAAATGAAGAAATTTTAGCTGTACTCTTCAGGCAAAATAAGTGTAATACATTGTGGTTAGGACTT